TTCCCGAAGGGGGACCCTATGGACTTAAAACCCCAAGGGAGTCTACCAGAATCAAGAATAGAAAAAGCATCCATAGGAGAGGAAAAAAGATTAACAGAAATACCAGAGGAATATAGGGACCTTGCTGAAGTCTTCAGTGAGGAGAGGGCGAATGAGCTTCCCCCCCACCGACCCACAGACTGTACCATTGAATTCAAGCCTGGGGCAAAACTCCCGAACCCAGATTATACTCCATGAGCCCAAAGGAGAAGGAGGAAATGGAAAGATTTATAAAAAAAAACCTGGAGAGAGGTTTCATTGAGCCAGCCAAGCCTAAAGTGGCTGCCCCGGTCCTTTTTAGAGAGAAGAAGGATGGCTCTTTACGTTTATGCGTGGATTATAGGGCCCTGAATACAATCAGTGAAAGCAACCTATACCCGCTGCCCCTCATGAAAGACATGCTGTCACACCTATCGAAAGGGAAAATTTTTTCTAAACTAGACTTAAGGGAAGCTTACTATCGAGTGAGAATCAAGGAAGGGGACGAATGGAAGACTGCATTTAACTGCCCCATGGGGTGCTATCAATTCAAAGTCTTGCCATTTGGATTACAAGGGGGCCCTGCAGTCTTTATGCAACTAATCAATGACGTTCTAAGGGAGCACCTGTTTAAGGGGGTCCTTGTTTACTTGGACGACATTCTTATCTTTACCGAAACAAAAGAAGAACACGTCAAACTTGTCAGAGCGGTTTTAAAGAAGCTGCGAGCCGCTCACCTATATGCCAAACTCTCAAAATGCGAATTCCACCAGGAAAGGATAGACTACCTAGGCTATCGCATATCCCCACAGGGCATTGAAATGGACCCAGAGAAGGTCAGAGCAGTATTAGAATGGGCACCACCCCGCACAAGAAAGCAACTACAAAGTTTCCTGGGCTTTGCAAATTTTTACCGCCAATTCATCCCCTCATTTGCACAGATAGCCTTGCCCCTCACCAACTTACTAAAAACGAAGGGAACATCCTCAGTAAAACCTAGCCAGCCACTAACATGGACAATGGAGTGCCAAGCAGCGTTTGAGAGACTAAAGAGACTTTTTTCTGCCGAACCAGTACTAAGGCACCCAGACATGGACAAACCCTTCATAATACAGGCAGATGCAAGTGATGTGGCAGTGGGGGCTGTGCTATTACAAGAAAATGATGATGCAGTATTGCAACCCTGTGCATATACATCTAAGAAACTCACGGAAACAGAACAGCGCTGGCCCGTATGGGAGAAGGAGGCTTATGGGATACGTTGGGCATTACTCACGTGGCGACAGTTCCTGGAAGGCAACAAAATCCCCTTCCAGGTGTGGACTGATCACAAAAATTTAGAAGCCCTGAAAACTTCCAGGAAACTCAATCCCAAACAAGCCCGCTGGTCCCAGCATTTTCACCAATTCCAATTTAAGCTCAAACATTTACCAGGAAGAAAGAACTTCCTGGCAGATGCACTATCTCGCATGCCCCAATATAACAGCGCACGAACCACAGACTCTAGACCAATAATGGCAGAGTCACAACTGGCAGCGCCAGTAACCACAAGAACCCAAGCCAAAATAAAACCACAACTGGACAGCCAAACTGGGATTGAATTCAGAAAAAGTTTGGAAACAGATGATTGGTTCCAGAAAAACAAACATGTGTGCACAATGAGAGACGGATTGCCTTGGGTAGGGGAAAAGTTATATATACCAACAACTCAAAGACTAACTTTCATGCAACTTTGCCATGACACAAAATCAGCAGGGCATTTTGGATTTGTAAAAACTTTACACTTAATTAAACGGCAATTTTGGTGGCCATCAATAAAAAAGGACATAGAAAGTTATATTGCCAGCTGCCCAACCTGTGCATCAGCAAAGAGGTTGCAAGGGAAATCGCCAGGGCTGTTACAACCAGTGGCAAGTCCCTCAGCCCCCTGGAGGGAAATAGCCATGGATTTTATAGTGGAATTGCCTGAAAGCAATGGGAATACTGTTATCTGGACAGTCACGGACCTATTTTCCAAACAGGTGCACTTTATCCCTTGCCAAAAATTCCCACTGCAAAGGCCTTAGCAAAACTTTTCATCCAGCACATTTACAGATTGCACGGGGCACCCCAACGCATCATCTCTGATAGGGGAGTGCAATTTACGTCTGCATTTTGGAAGGAATTTTTATCCCTTTAGGGACCACTCAGGGATTGACATCTAGCCACCACCCTCAAGGAGATGGTCAAGCGGAACGGTGCCAGTCGGTACTTGAGCAATATTTGAGATGTTTTTTAAATTTCCAACAGAGTGATTGGACGGACTTACTTCCTTTTGCAGAAGTTGCCTACAATAATGCAGTCCACTCCAGCACAGGCTACACTCCTTTTCAAATAGCCAACGGCCAAAGTTTCAACCCTATGCCAGAGTTAACCCCAAAAGAACCAACGATCCCTTCACTGAAAGAATGGATGGAAAACCTACAAAACACCTGGCCAATAGTCAGAAAATCACGAGATGAAGCTAGGCGGGCATACAAAGCACAAGCCGATAAAAAAAGGGTTGAGCCTACACCATTCATTATAGGAGAAATGGTGTACTTATCTACAAAATACCTAAAGTCCCTACAGCCCTGTAAAAAACTTGGACCAAAATATATAGGACCTTTTCCAATTAAAAGGATCATAAATCCAGTAACAGTAGAATTAGAATTACCCAAAAACCTCAGGCAAATACACCCAATTTTTCATTGCAGCTTGCTGAAAAGAGAGCATCAGTCACCTCTACGGCCAAAAATCCCCCCCCCACCACCTCCAATCATGGTGGAGGGGGAACAACACTTCGAAATAAAAGAGATCCTTGACTCTAGGAGATATCATGGAACAACTCAGTACCTAGTTGCCTGGAAACACCTCCCTGCCTCACAAAATGAGTGGGTCCATAAACGTCACGTCAGAGCCCCGAAGCTATTGAAGAAGTTTCACACAGAGTATCCTAACAAGCCTAACTAAATTTTTACTTGTGTTTTCTTTCAGGTGGATCTCTCTTATTGTTAAGAGGGGCCGGATGTCAGAATCCAATTATATTTCATCTTTAATTATCAAATATAGAAACTCCCAATTCTGCCTTCTTGGATTCTGCCATAAGAGGGAGAGAAGGGGGAGAACAAAGGGGCTTTATGGCCCTCACTTCCTTCAGTAGACTTCAAAGAGCTGAATGCTGAATGTGTGTTTATTGTAACCTATTGTAACCTCAAAGTGTTAGCACCAGAGAACATTAGCATTAACAAAGAAGAGTATTTGCCTTTCATGTAGTTATCTGAAGTCTCCATCCAGACGGAAGAAAGAAGAAACGGGGTGGAATTGTGATACTTGAAACTATCACTGGAAGGGGGGTTGATTGGGTGGGACTACTGGGGAACCCCTTAAAACCTTGAATGGGAGAGCTTGGACCCCAAGTCCTGTCTAGCATGCCTGCAACCATTTTCTCTTAATAAAGGATTCCTGTTGGAAGAATTATTCCAAGAGTTCTGTCTTCTTAAGATGCAAAGTGGGGTGGGTCCTTACACATGGCAGTATGAAAGAACACAATTAATGTTGCTAGATTCTGGGTGAGATCTGCTTATACTTGTACATATTTTAATCTTGTACATATTTTAATCTTGTATTTTATATTTTAAATTGTAATGTACATATTTTAATCTTGTATTTTATATTTTAAATTGTATGTAATATAGTATGCCTTATTTTAATTGTGATGCATCTGACACGAATAAACAAACTACTGAGAAAGCTTGTTTTTTAGTCTAAACCTCTTTTCCTTTCCTTAGGTGTAGCATCTTTGATGGATTCTCTCAATATTCATCTGAATATATAAAATCATGTCAGAGAACTTGATGTACTTATTCGTCAACATATGTTTCTAGATAAGCAACATCTCACAAGATAAATTACCAATAGCAATTTCATATTTAAACCACATGACTTTCAATGTTCTAAGTACATGCTTACAACATCAGACTGGTGGGAAGAAGTAAAATGGAAGTCCTCTTGGTTTGAGCTTGATTTCTCATGATTTCCGGGATGAGTTTTGTTGGCAACAGCATAGAAGAAATGTAACATTACTTTTTGCATTTTTAAAAATTTCTCAGTCTGGTTTACAGTCTGGGATGTGAAACAGGTTCAACACTCATTAGTTTCTTGAGATCATCCAAGGATGGCTAGAAGTAGCAAACCACTTCTGAAAAATCTTGGCAAGAAAATTGCAGGGACTAGTCCAATCAGTCATCAGGAGTCCAAAACTGACTCTCCTTAAAAAAAAAAAAAAAAAGTCTTAGTGCTGCCACCTGCCATTCTAAAAGTTACTTTGGCGGTTCATCAAGGTCACTCTGATTTCTGGTACCTGTAGATACACATCTTTCCAATTTTCTCGGAAGTGATTTGCCATTTTCTTTTCCCTAGGGATGAGAAAATCTGATTGGCCCAAAGTCACTCAGCTGGTTTTGTGTTTAAGGTAGGCCTAGAATTCATCATCTCTTGGGTTCTACTCTAGTGTCTTTAACCTCTATACCAAACTGGTTAAAAGTAGAGGTCTGATCAATACTTGTTCCAACAGTTTGCATTTCACTCTCAATTCTGCAAAGACAGGGCCAGACAAAAATGGGCACAATGATTGTGGAAATGGGATGACTTCCATGTTAGTCCAGAACAACTGGAAAATTGAGAACAAGAAATGGACTGATTTGCCCATTACTCCCATTGATGTCAAAATTATTACTTCCAAGTAAGTAGTTTAAAGATTAGAGCCCATGAGGCAACCTAGTTGTCTTTAAGACTCCTCTCCAAGGTCAATTATTTATTTTGGCAACTGCTTCTAATTGGGGGCATCACTTGTCACTTAATCCCTTAAGATATAATCAAGAGCTGGTATCCCAAAGGCTTTGATAAAGAGTTAATTACTTTTTTTGCTAATGCTTAAACTATGGTCAATATTGCAAGTTAAGAAGAAGGATGAAGGTTTGGCCCATTAATTTGTTCCTTCTCTCTGAAGGAGAACTTCTGTTTTTCTTCTCTAAAAAACAGTCTGCTTTTGAAATTGTCTGAAGCCTTAGCGAAGGAATGATCCATATCAACAGTAAACTTTGGGAATAAAGAACTCCGTTCCAGGCATGGGCTTTCAAGAAAGGAGACTGGTACTTAAGTCTTGATTTTAATTCTAGCTGGAGTAGCCATGAAGAGGTCTATCTGTGAACTCCATATACCAGAGTAAATGTTAATTTACCTATAAGATTTTATGCCACAGGATGAGATGCATGGTTCTTTATTCTTTTCAGCTTCATAATAGAATTTTTGAGATAGTTTAGATTATGACTGACGCCAAAATCATCCAAGTAGAACTTTATAGCCATCCAGATTTTGATCTGGTTCCTATATTTCATATTTTCTCTCTCCATCACTTTCTATTTATCTATCTATTATTCATCTATTTTATCTAATATCTAATATCTATCTATCTATCTATCATTATCTATCATTTTTATCTTCTCTCTTTCTCTCTCATTTGTCATCTCCTTTATAAATTACCTTTTTTCCTGAGAGCTCAAAATATTTCTAACATTTATTTATAAATTCATTACATGTTTATCCCACCTTTATTTTTGGTAAACTCAGGATGGTGCGGGTGCTTAATGCTCCCACTTTCCATTTACTCCACAACAACAACCCTATGAATTAGGTTGGGATGAGAAAGAGGGACTGACCAAAAGTACCCAACTATTTTTCATGCCTAACAGAGGAAGACAACTCTTGGTTTGTAGCCCAGCATCTTAGCCACTACCTCAGAATGGATTTCCCTCCAGTGAGGTGTATTGGGTTCAGGGAAAAAGCAAGGACTCCAGAGTTCCCAGTGAGCTCTTTATTGAATGGGGAGCAAGTCTCACATTTTTAACCGCTATGTTCTCATATTGGTCATGAGCCGAGGTGGCGCAGCAGTTAGAGTGCAGTACTGCAGGCCACTTTAGCTGACTGTGTTCAGCAGGTCAGCGGTTCAAATCTCACCGGCTCAAGGTTGACTCAGCCTTCCATCCTTCCGAGGTAGGTAAAATGAGGACCCAAATTGTTGGGGGCAATGTAAATATATATATACATTGCTTACTGGTGTACACTGCTTAGAGAGTGCTTGCACTTAAAGCGGTATATAAGTCTCATAAATAAATAAATAAATGATGGATTTTCTTATATGGGACTTATCCTGATGTTACTGGGATGTTTCTATCCATAGATATTGAGCTCTTCTTCTTGTGAAGAAAACATTTTTCAAGAAAGGCATCCACACAAGAACTAAGAGAGTGCAAATTTCAGAAACACTTCACACCCGTGCATCAAAAATTCTGCTCTTTTTCTCCATGAGTTATGATGGAATCCAATTTTTGTCCTTTGATGGAAGCATTGGATCTTATGGTTGCCCTTATAGAAGTTAACCATTTGCTCCATTCTGGGATAGAAGATAAAGTGAGATTAGATAGATAGATAGATAGATAGATAGATAGATAGATAGATAGATAGATAGATAGATAGACAGATGATAGATAGATAGATAGATAGATAGATAGATAGATAGATAGATAGATAGATAGATAGATAGATAGACAGACAGACAGACAGACAGACAGACAGACAGACAGACAGACAGACAGACAGAATTGTCCTAAGGGCTGTGGCCTGAATCACCTCACATAAAATGGTCTTGATTTGTGCATGGATCCTGAAAAGCTTGGGTCTGCCCATTCCAAAATACTACCTTTCTCTGTGGTAGAAGAAACCAGATAAATAAATGCTAACATAGAAAATGCCTCTAAACAATCATAAATTCTTTATATTGTCTAGAAACTATAGATAATGTGGAGAACAAATTATGGCAAAGGGAACATTTCATTTTAATGACTTGGCTGATTTAATGTAATGTAATTAAAACAGAAATGCAAATTCAGTTAAATCCAGCTTAGTTGTTGCTCTGGGGTCTTACTTCTGTCTTTGCCATGACCCCATCTACATTTTAGAATGCTATCCAGAGGGTCATGGGCTATCAATGATTCTCTAAAAATTGTGTATGAGAAGATCAGAATGATTCATGTTGGAGACTAGAAATCCACATGCTTCATTATTCAACCTGAGGAAAAACGTAATGCTTCACTCTGTCTTAAGTTGATGGAGACTCACACAGGTAAACATGATCAGCAGGCAGCATAATTATATAACTGACTTCCCCACTTTATCTCCATCTGCAATAGTTAGATAGATGATGAAATTATGGTCAGAGTGGCACAATGCAAGTGAAAGTGGGAAAACATGACGATGATGGTATCACATAGCTGAACTCAACTCAGCTGTACAGTCGGTGATCAAGAGAAAAGAAGGGAGGGACACTGATGATTATCCATTGTCTTACAGATTGTGAGGTCACCAATTTGCAGATGGGATGATGCATGATTTGTATAACTCCACTGAGTTTCTGATCTGACTATCACCATTGGTATGGAGCTTATTTAATGTCTACAAGAGCTAAAGTGAAATATTTTGTCTGCAAATATCATATTCCAAGAAGAATTTCTAGTTTCTGCTGATGTCTCCAAATTCACAAAACATGTCATTTTCTCTTCTTCCAGGTCTACTCATGGCCCTCAATGATTCTACTGTTACAGAGTTTATCTTCTTGGGTCATTCCAATTCTCGGCCGATCCAGCTTCTTCTCTTTGTATTAGTCTTGGCTGCTTATACAATATGTCTGGTGGGCAACCTCCTTATTGCAGTGACAGTGCAGGGAGAACCCCACCTCTCTCAGTCACCCATGTACTTCTTCTTGGCCAACTTGTCTCTCTTTGATATTACTTTGGGCTCACTGGCTACACCCAAGCTTTTAACAGATTTAGTGAGCTACAGCAGGACCATCAGCTTTATGGGTTGTATGATCCAGATCTTCTTTATCCACTTAATAGGGGGCTCTGAGATGCTCCTTGTAACCCTCATGGCTTACGATCGTTACATGGCCATCTGCCACCCTTTGACCTACATGACCAGGATGAACCGTCCACGTTGCATCAGACTTCTTGCCTCCTGTTGGGCTGGAGGCCTCATTCACACTACCATCCAAATGTTTTTGCTTCTCCAGCTCCCGTTCTGTGGACCAAACACTCTGGACAATTTTCATTGTGACCTCCCACAGGTGATTAAGCTGGCTTGTGTAGACACTTATGTCACTGAGCTGCTGGTTGTGGCCAACAGTGGCCTACTTTCCCTTGTATGCTTCCTTGCCTTGCTTGCTTCCTACAGTATCATTGTCAGCAGCCTTCGAGGTCACTTCAAGGAGAGTGGAGGCAAAGCCCTGGCTACCTGCAGCTCCCACCTCATTGTGGTCTTCATCAGCTTTGTGCCTTGCATCTTTGTTTATTTAGTGCCTTTCTCCAGGTCTCACACAGACAAGGTGGCTTCTGTGTTCTACACCCTAATTGTACCTTCTGTCAACCCACTCATATACACCTTGAGGAACCGAGACATGAGTAATGCAATGAGGAAGTTAAAGAAGAGGTGCCCTTTTTTACCTTCTTCTGGGAACATGGAACAAGTATGAGTTGTTTTGGTCCCCTCAGTTGTGAAACAAATTCCATTTGCCTGTTATTTTCTTCTCTGGTTCCCATTCATGTAGGTGACAGTTGAACCTGATCTTCAAGTCAGTACTGAATTCATGGCTGGGCAGACAACATACGGAGACATTCTTTGGACAAAAGAAATAATGGCCATTGTAGTATAATGTAGAAAATACACTGTTAACCTGGAAAATGTTATTCATACAAGTGTTTTCATCATTTCTTTCTAGACAGGTTGGACGTTTTCCTCTATTATTGAACGTTCTCCTGTATTGGATCCTGTTATTTCTTAACTGGAAAAAAGAATAGGTTGGCAAGGTTTGGTAAATGGAATAACCCATGTGATTTGTGTTGTCGGAAGGACTCACATAAGCCAAGTTCAATTTCAGTTCAGCTCTATACAGGAATTTTAATTAAAATACAACTGACAAATGGCAATCCTGTCTCTACTTGGATTGTGAGCTGTCCACAGTTGTCTGCTCGGATGGGCAGCTATAGAAATAAAACAAAGAAACAGATACTTGTAGACATGCAGTGAAGGAGAGTTCAGCATCTTTTTTGGAAAATGCTTTCTTTACCAATTGTTTGGACTGTTAGGGAGTTTTTCATAAGTTTGACTAGGAAAAAAATCTTATATTTCTGTATTGATTCTTTAAGAATAAAATTTATCTACTTTGCCTGTGTTTCTGCTGAGTCAATTCCCAGATTGCATCTGTGATTTTTCTAACAAAGTTGTCGAGGTAGGTATACCACTGTGGCATTTGTATTGCGACAGTGCAAATAGATACTTCAATATTACCACAACTGATTCTTTGATACGATGCATCTTTGCACTACTACAAGGGGGGGGGGGAAGAGATGTTGAAATGTCTTTGAGAAAACATAATTTTCATTTGACTTCACGATTCCAATCCTAATTTTTCTCCTGATTCATGTCCCTTTAACTTGTGTTTGTTGTATAACGTTAAGAGATATTCATGTTTTTCCTGTGCACGATATAAGAAGTATCATCTGCAAAACTGCACATGAAGTCAACACGTTTGAAAAGAGGTCCACGAACATCTAGAAAGGACAGGAGACAGGAAAGGGAGGTAAAATATCCTTGATATAAGGGCTTAAGGGACAGAGTCTCCCTTGTAATGTAATCATGCTTCATTATTTCAGTGCTATAGCCCTTTGTATTGGGCAACATAGCAGGACCAGAAGGTTGAGACCTCTTTATTAATGGTGAATCAGAACCATTGAGAGACCCTCAGCAAATCAGACTTCACCTAAGTCTCCTTCTTTTAAATGTGACAGCAGGAGAAATGATTTGCTAGAATGCCAGAATGTAACAAGCACACCTATTGGATCCAGATTTTGCACTCCAGTCAGAAGCACTGAGGCAGTTCCAGGTTGAAACTATTAGACCAGTGGCTCTCAACCTGTGGGTCGGGACCCCATTTGGGGTCGAATGACCATTTCACGGGGGTTGCCAAACAACGCAGTCCGCCATTTTTTCTCCCTTTTCCTTAGCTATACTACTCCCTTTTATTCTGTTGGCTTTTGAAAGCCAATAGAATAGACTCTCTTGAATAGAGTCTAATTCTATTGGCTTTCAAAAGCCAATAGGAATTGTCCAGGCTGAGCCTGCCAAAAGTCCCATTCTGCAAATGGTGCTGCATCAGTTGAGTAGTCCTTGACTTATGACCAGTTGAGTAGTCCTTGACTTACGACCGGTTGGGGGTCGCGGCATTAAAAAGGTTGAGAACCACTGTATTAGACGATGATATCACTGTTGCCTTGGAGACGCCCAGTTGGGGGCTCCTTTCATGTCCCCAGCAGGAGCTTGGTGAGTGAAGGACGAGAGCTCAATCCCACCCCATGGCGAGGGTCTCAAATGCAAGCTTGCCAGCCTTGTGCTCAGCATTTCAAGCACTCGAGCCACTGTGCTAAGATAAGACAACCTTTATTGTCCTTTTTTTTTTACTGTGGGCACCCTGGCACACATTAAAAATGAAATTTTGTTGCCTGCTCTCAAAAGTATACATATACACAACACACATATAAATATGCTATATACACACATAGGTATATATCTACACCCTTACATATAAATACATATACATATTAATGACTGTTCATCTTGGATACATAGCAGAAAGAGGAAGCTTGAGAGTTCACAAGGTTGATTACAAGGTTGGGACAAAACTGTGACTGAATCTGGATGTTCTGCTTCGGGTACCATGAAGCCTCCTCCCAGAAGGTAACAAGGAAAACAGGTTGTGAAGAGGATGTGTAGCATCCCAGACAATTCTGTGGACCCTGCTTGAGCATCACTTATATACCATGTCCTGAATGGAAGGGAGTAAACTGCCAATACTCTTTTCCGCCATCCTCACCACTCTCTGCACCGTCTTCCTGTCTGAAACAGTAACACTTCCAAACCAGACTGCAATGCAATATGACTGGATGCTCTCGATCGTCCCTCTATAGAAAGTGGTAAGGACAGGGGAAGGAAGATGTACTTTTCTCATGTGATGTAAAAAATGCAGGTGCTGCTGTGCCCCTTTCATCCTTACTGGATCAAATTACTGCTCAATGTAGTGGTAGATTCTCAAAACAACCCAACTTTAAGCATCTCTCACCTGGACATAAAGTGATTTGTATTAATGAAATAAAAGTGTTGCATATACAAGGGAGTTGTCCAATCCCTGCCTTGCTGTGCTGCAATGGCACTTTTATTAGACACTCACCAAGCATATGGGAGGAGAAGATTGGTGGAGAAAGACTTCCCAAAATTTAACCCAATGTGTCTCCCATTCATTGTCTTGGAGTACGAATGGATGAATTCACAATTACAGTAGTCCTTGACTTATGACACCATTGGGACCAGAATTTCCATTACTAAGTAAGACAGTTGTTAAGCAAATTCTGTTCCCACCATGGATTTTGCTTGTCAGAGGCCAGTTTGGAAGGTCTCAAATAGTGATCACATGATCCCAGGATTCTTCAACCAGCATTGCAAATATATGCTAGCCAGCATGTGAACTTTGATCACATGACTGTGGGGATGCTGCAACAGTCATAAGGATTATTTCTAAGACATTTTTTTCAGTGCTGCTATAACTCTGAACATTTGCTAATCAAATAGCTGTAAGTTGAAGACTACCTGTATATTACATAAACGGGCAGTTCTTTTAGGAAAAAAAATGGACTTTTAAGGGCACAAATCACTTACCTTTCACATTTCTGGCCTAACTGCTCACAATGCCAGACTGAACTGGGAAAGAGAAATTAAGAAAAAGAAAGTCAACTTAATTACTTAGAAAGCTGGGAGAATTTAGCTCTTTTCAAACATGTCCATCTTCTTTGCCTAAGGAATATAACAACAACAACAACAACAACAACAACAACAATAATAATAATAATTATAGTAATTGGAAAGTACCTTGGAGGTCATCTAGTCCAACCCCCTGCTCAGGCGGGAAACTCTATACCAGGGGTGTCAAACTGCCTGCGGGTGGGATGCATCATGCCAAACCCACACCACCCTATTGCCGGCAATGGGGGAAAAGTCACGATATGTCATGACACGTCAAGTGATGTTGCGAGTTTGACACCCCTGTCCTATACCATTTCAGACAAATGACTGTCCAGTCTCTTCTTAAAAACTTCCAGTCTTGGAGCATTCATCACTTCTGGAGGCAGGTTGTTCCACTGGTTAATTGTTCTAACTGTCAGGATGTTTCTCCTTAGTTCTAGGTTGCTTCTCTCTTTGGTTAGTTTCCATCCGTTGCTTCTTGTCCTGCCTTCAGGCGCCTTGGAAAATAGCTTGACTCCCTCTTCTTTGGGGCAGCCCCTGAGATATTGGAACACTGCTATCACGTCCCCCCTCGTCCTTCTCTTCGTTAAACTAGACATACCCAATTCCAGCAGGCGTTCCTTATATGCTTTAGCCTCCAGTCCCCTAATCATCTTGGTTGCTCTTCTCTGTACTCTTTCTAGAGTCTCAACATCTTTTTTACATTGTATGACCAAAAATGGATGCAGTATTCCAAGTGTGGTCTTACCAAGGCATTGTACAGTGGTATCAACACTTCACGTGATCTTGATTCTATCCCTCTGTTAATGCATCCCAGCACTGTGTTGACTTTTTTGGCAGCTGCAGCACACTGCTGGCTCATATTTAAGTGATTGTCAACTAGGACTCTGAGGTCCCTCTCACAGTTACTACTATAACCAGTGCTTTTTTTCTTAAAAAAAAAAGGTGCTGGAACTTACACACGTCATACAACCAGCCTTGCCTACCCTACAAGGTTCCATCCAAAAAAGGTGCCGGAACTCCGTTCTGGGCGTTCTATGAGAAAAAAAGCCCTGACTATAACTACTATAACTATAACTTATAAACAAACAAACAGGAAATCACAAAAAGTATGTTGGCTACAAATGCAATGGATGGAAGCTAATCAAGGACAGAACCAACACAGAACTAAGGAGAAATTTCCTGACAATTAGAACAATTAATCAGTGGAATGACTTGCCTCCAGAAGCTGTGGGTGCTCCAACACTGGAAGTTTTTAAGAAGAGACTGCACAGACATTTGTCTAAAATGGTATAGGGTTTCCTGTCTGAGCAGGGGTTGGACTAGATGACCTCCAAGGTCCTTCCAACTCTGTTATTCTGTTAAAGGGTGCTTTGATTTTGGTTATTGTTACTGTGGATTGTACTGGAAATGGTTTCAATGGTTCTTCTAAACAAGGGGATAAAACCTGTGGCTCACCCCAGAATATTAACTGTGAAGGCTAGAACTCAAGGAGGAGAGACTGTAGTAACATCAAGAGGGTAAATCAGCATAAAGAGAAGCCAGGAAATTGACTATGATAGATCTCTAATGAAAATACTATTGACATTCATGAGAACACCAATGCTTTGAGTATGTCATCTCATTATACAGATAGTCCTTGACTAACAACCTTTCATTTAGTGACTGTTCAAAGTTACAATAGCACTAAAAAGTGACTTATGACCCTTTTTTCACACTTACAACCGTTGCAACATTCTCATGGTCACGTGATCAAAATTTAGACACTTGGCAACTGACTCATATTTATGATGGTTGCAATGTCCCTGGGATCATGTGATCCCTTTTGCAATCTTCTCCCAAGCAAAGTCAATGGGGAAGCCAGATTCCCTTAACAACCATATTACTAACTTAACCACCGTAGTGATTCACTTAACAACTGTGGCAAGAAAAGTCTTAAAATGGAGCAAAATTCACTGGACAAACATCTTGCTTAGCAACAGAAAGTTTGGGCTCAATTATGGTCATAGGTTGAGAACTACCTGTAGTAACACTATGTCAATCTTCTGTAAAAAAACAAAGGAAGCCCAGTGTTTCAGTTGTAATCATTCCTTCCTTCCTTCATTTCTGTAGTTACCCAACTCAACCAAATGATTCTGGGTAGCTTACAATTCTATCATGATGATGATGATCATCATCAATCAATCATCCATTTTTTCATCAGATCATAGACCATAAAAATTACCAACTATCCAACTATCCTAGTCAACTTCAACCATATGCCCTTTGACTTCTGCAGTTACCTCCCCCTGACTGGGGATCTAAGAAAAGGCTCATAAGCTCATTGTCCCAAAGGTCTAATAATGGGTCACTGAAATGCTTCATTCGTACTGATTGGTGCCCTGGAGGAAGGAAACAGAAGGTGCCCCTCCCTTGTCAGATGGTGTGCTTGATTTTCCACTTCTGGAAGAACAAAAAAGACAATCACCTTTTAGAGTTACCTTCATTCCAGCTGGGAGAAGCCACTAAGTGACTGGAATGAACAGGTATTGTGGATCTTGGTCTCTTGGTTTTAGAAGAAGAGTAAGTTGAGTGGCGATCAGGAGCAGTGGGGAAAAGAAGGATGCAATGTCTTCTTTTAATTCTTCCTTAATGAAGAACCAATGTTGATGTTCTTTAGATATGTCTCTAGCCTCTTTTGGTAAGGTGGATTTATGTATGAAATGAGATAAGAAGAGAGGAAAGAAGAAAAAAAAACCTGGGACTAAGATTCCATAGTTCTAAAAGCAGCTATATCTGAATGCTTCATTTGAAATTGTTGTAGCAAATCAGTTGTTTGCCTTTACACCAGAACAGTAAGCTTAAGATACTCTTATAAGGTAGATATTTATCAAAATTATCAAAAATTTATAAATACCTATTAGAGATAAAGGAAGAAATAGTGGCCAATGATAGCGTGGGCACAAAATGTGGGGTGAAATATAAATTTAGAGGAATGGGAAAGATTATGGAACATAAATTGCAAATTGACGCTATCAACTGCATACAGAGAGAATCAATATAAAATGATTTACAGATGGCATTTAACACTGGCGAGATTGGCTAAAATGTATAAAAATATAGACCCGAAGTGTTGGAAATGTAAAATCAGAGAAGGAACATTTTATCACATGTGGTGGCTGTGCCCCAAAGCAAAAAATTATTGGGAACGAATAAGAGATTGGATACAGGAGATAACGGAGATACAAATGGATTTTAAACCAGAATTATTTTTGGGGGGCATAATAAATTTAAAGATGGAAAAACAACTCCAACATATCATTATACACATATTGACCGCAGCTCGTATAGCATATGCTCAATGCTGGAAGAGTGAAAATATTCCCACAAATGATATGATTATGTACAAAATCTTGGAATGTGCAGAAATGAATAAACTTACGTTAGAATTAAAAGACAAGGAGGCGACAGAATTTTACGAAATTTGGAATAAATGTTATAATTGGCTAGAGCAGAGAAAGGAAAAGACATAATTATTGATGTACATAAAACGTAAATAAGATGTAAAGAATGCTTAAAATGTATAGTACTGTTCTGTTAAAAGAAAAGATTTATGTTTATGTATTTTAAGTTTGTTTGGGTGTATGGTGTATGGTGAAAAATAATAAAAAATTTAAAAAAAATAAGGTAGATATTTGAAGTTCCTATCCCTTGATTCTTTCTTTTTATGCTTTCCTTCATGACTCAGGGACATCAGCTCTGAAGATATCCTAATGCAGTTCAGTGCTATCTCACACTACCAAATCCAGGAACAAGAAAGGGAAGAATGTCTTGGCCCAAAGAAATGGACAGTAAGTAACCAGGAAAGAGAGATGGCTTCAAAAATCTACTTAGGGAGGAACCATGTTATGATGGTATCATAACATTCATTTGTGATGATCTGGAGGGAGAAGACCTAAAACAAATTTCTCATATATTATTGTGGTGGTTGTGGTTGTTAATCAAATTTATGGGCTGCAGGTGTCTGTGGAGATGCTCAGTCATCCAGGTCATGGTTGTCCTAATGATGCTTTTTCAAAAGGCAACTGGACTTTCTTTGTTTTTTTTGTTTTTTTGCCTGAAGATGTTTTGCTTCTCATCCAAGAAGCTTCTTCAGTTCTGAAGCTTCTTGGGTTCGGTGGAGAGATTTATATTCCTTGCAGGATTTATATGGAAGGATTCAGTTCTGATTGAATGGCGGAGAATGGATCAGCGTACATAAAAATTTATCCTAAGAAGAAATGTGGATTGTAGGTGTCCTACCTTTTGGTGGAATTGGCAAGACTGTGGGTTTATGTTGTCTAGGTATTAATGGGGACTTCGAAATGAAGTTCTAAATTAGTATTCAGGATAGCTTTGGAAGCAAACAGATCCCCCCCATACACACCCAAGGGAACAAAATGGATATGGATGCTGCAGATGAAGAAGTCTCTCTAGTGCCCTGTGAATCACAGAAATATCATAGGTATAGGGGTGTGTGTGTGTGTGTGTGTGTGTGTGTGTGAGAGAGAGAGAGAGAGAGAGAGAGAGAGAGAGAGAGAGACTGTTGCACAGAATATTTTAATACTGCAGTTACATTGCAATACAAAGGAATAGATGTATACCTCTGTATATCTGCGTGTATATTTATATCTACTGCATATCTTTATAATCTTTATTTACATTATCTATATGTTTTTATACTGCCAATATATACTTATTTTTGTAGAGAATATTCTACCAAAACATTGTACTTATTTCCAATCTGTCATGTGCATGACTGCATGAACTAAATTTTTCACGTGAATCTGAAAATAATCTGCTTTATTCACTGGGCCTATAATATTTTAATTTCATACCTCTTTTTTCCCCTCTGGTTAGTAGTTAGCAGATTGTATACAGGGTACAGGTTTTCAGGACTATGTCCTGAATTTTTCTCATGATTTGGAAATATTTCTAAGTTGCAACTATATATGTTTAATGGAATTGCTTGTGGACAAGTGGGTATGAACTATTTTAAAGGGTGAAAAAATTCCCCTTGAAGAAATTGTGGAAGTAGATTGGAAAATTGGAGAAAGAGTATCAATATCTAACTTACTATTTTTCATAGATGTATGAAGCTGGGAGAGTTTTGCAAAGAGTCATGGCTTAGATGGACCTTAGTTGGCTACAGGAATCATCATTAATTATCCTAAATATGAACCCAATTCCTTTTGCCTTATTAGTTATACTGTTGTTAACTACTACTTTATCTGGTAGATTTCCTTGTTTTTTCAAATCTAAAACAAATTCATTCCCTTAGAACTTACTGCTACTACTGCTAGTATTAATATGTAATAACGTGTTACATATATACTGTATACAATATTCTACAAGAAAATGGTTCTTCTATACATCTGTGAGGCATGGGGAAGATAGTTACAAATTGGCTCACCAAAGTTATTTAATGCCAGTTTAACAAAAGAAGCTTCAATGAGAATTGGTAAGCTACAAAATGAAATATTGGACATCATAAAGCATTTATATGTAATGATGGTGGCATTAGGGTTTCAGAATCTGCTGCTCGGTTTAGTTTAAATTCTGGATTCTTTCCTGGAGTGTGAAATTGTAATTTGCAAACACTGCAGAACCACAATACCCAGTATCTCTAGTCCACAATAAGGCCCCGGGAGTAATGTAAACCAGTAATCTGGAAGGAAATGATTTGCTGCAAACTGTTGTAAAAAAATGCTCATTTCAATATTTTCTCTTCGCATTACAAGACTTTAGGAGTACTTTTGATTCAAATAGAAAAACAACATTAGTCACTTTTCCATGTTTTCATTGATTAGTAGGAGCAAGTTGTAATGATAATTATTTCTTGTTTCTTCTTGCAAGGTCCAGTCACCTTCATGAATGCCTCCAGGGTCACTGAATTCATCTTACTGGGTCTTTCCAGGTCTCAGTCCATCCAGCTCCTTCTATTTGTCCTGGTGATATTGTGCTATGCTGCCGTTCTGATTGGCAACCTTCTCATTGTATTGACGGTGCACATAGATCCACATCTTAAAAAATTGCCCATGTATTTTTTCTTATCCAATTTATCCATCATAGATACATCGGTGGGTTCAGTAGTAGTTCCCAAAGTAGCAGCAGATCTGGTCACCCAAAGCAGGACTATCTCATTTAGAGGCTGTATGTCCCAGCTCTTTTTCTTACACTTCTTTGGAGGTTCCGAGATGCTCCTCCTAACTCTCATGGCGTATGATCGCTATGTGGCCATTTGCCATCCACTGACATACACAACCATGATGAACCGGCCACGCTGCATTAGACTGATGTGCTTCTGTTGGTTTGGAGGCCTCCTCCACTCTTCTAGCCAGTTATTCCTGGTCCTACGGCTGCCGTTCTGTGGGCCAAATGAAGTGGACAATTTCTTTTGTGATGTTCCACAGGTAGTCAAACTAGCTTGCGTTGACACCCGTGTCACTGAGATACTCATGGTGGCCAATAGCGGCCTGCTCTCCCTGGTTTGTTTCGTCATCTTGCTGATCTCCTATGGCATCATCCTGAGCACCTTTCAAGGCCGCTTCAAGGAGAGTGGAAGGAAGGCTCTATACACCTGCAGCTCTCACCTGACAGTGGTCAGCCTTTTCTTCCTACCTTGCCTCTTTGTGTACCTTGTCCCCATCTTCAGCGCCAGTCTGGACAAGGTGTCTTCCGTATTTTATACCACAATAACACCTTTCCTTAATCCTATGATATATTGTCTAAGAAATCGGGAAATGAAAGAGGCAATGGGCCGAGTGAGGAAGACATTAACGTTTTCCCACTGGTCTTAGAAAGAAGCAGAAGGATGAATAGATTTTTCAAAAACCCTTTTTTTGTTTAAGGTAATCCTATTTGATAGTGTAGTTCCTACTATTATAATTGTAACAACAGTGGTGATGAACCTCAGCATATAACCTCCCATCTAGGACTACTGGTATCCCTGAGATAGAGCACAACCAAATATATGAGAGTCAATATTTCCTTTAGGAACATAGGAGCTCTAATTTTAGTGAAAACATGAGTGTTTTACACTTCATAGTGGTTTTAGCCAAATGTCTATGGAGATTCTCAGTCAACCAGGTCATGGCTTTCCCAATGGTGCTTTTTCAGGAGGCAACTGGACTTTCTTTGAAGACATTATTTATTTATCTATCTATCTATTTATTTATTTATTTATTTATTTATTTATTTATTTATTTATTTGACTTATATACCGCTTTAAGTGCAAGCACTCTCTAAGCAGTGTACACCAGTAAGCAATGTATATATATATTTACATTGTCCCCAACAATCTGGGTCCTCATTTTACCTACCTCGGAAGGATGGAAGGCTGAGTCAACCTTGAGCCGGTGAGATTTGAACCGCTGACCTGCTGAACACAGTCAGCTAAAGTGGCCTGCAGTACTGCACTCTAACTGCTGCGCCACCTCGGCTCTTACTTCATTTTACTTCTCATCCAAGAAGCTTCTTCAGCTCTAACCTGATGGTGGGGAATGGAAGGATTTATATTCCTTGCAGATAGCTGGTCATTTTCAGCTGGTCAGAGCCGAAAAAGCTTCTTGCGTGGGAAGCAAAAGGACTTCAAAGAAAAAACAAGAAAGCCCAGGTTTTTTTCCCTGAAAAAGCATCTTTGGGAGAGGCTTTAGCCCTTGATTGTTCCCTGAAAGTCTTGTGGAATTAGTCATAACAAGTTGTTTATGGATTAAAGTGAAATACTCAAGAACAAAAGAGAGGAGAGAGATGAATAATTCTAATAAACAACTAAAGGAACTGCAAAGAACTGACTATGTTTTCCTATTTGGGAAGTAAGTTTTATAGAGCAAGGTAACTATCAAGGCTTAACTAAAAAGGCTTGCCCTTGTAAGGAATGGATTCACAAGAACCTGGTCTCTGAGAAACACAAGGATATGGGTTTCATTTGTACAACAAGCTTATCTTGAAAGTGTGAACTATTTGAGGTTCACACCATGCACTGATTCATAAATTCATCAGTGAAGCGAAGGATAAAACTAATGTACACAGTATGTTAATAAGAACATAAGAACACTAGTTTACATGGTAATTGGATTCACGTGTGGAAAGTCAAAAGCAAACCTATTACATTATGGCTTAGTCCAGTGGAAATGTGAAGAACCTTTTAGATGTACATTGTTGAAATAAATTCACCTTTCCCAATGTTTCATTGTATTGTTTTCATTGTCTGTTTATGTTCATTTTGGTGTTTGGATTTTTAAGGGAGGTTTGTACACGAAGATTAACCTGAAGGGAGGTGTGATTATTCATTTCTGGTGAGATGGACATCTATATAGATTAGTGAAATAAATAGATAAATTCGCTCAACACCCAAGTGATAAAAGAGGAACTAAAGAAGAATAGAGAAAGAACTAACTAAATTTAGGAATCCCTGGCTTAAAAGTATATATCAGTAGTTCTCAACCTATGGGTCGGGACCCCATTTGGGGTCGAACGATCATTTCACGGGGGTCACCAAACAACACAGTGCACCATTTTTTTCCCCTTTTCCTTAGCTGTGCTACTCCCTTTTATTCTATTGGCTTTTGAAAGCCAATAGAATAGACTTTCTTGAATAGAGTCTAATTCTATTGGCTTTCAAAAGCCAATAGGAATTGTCCAGGCTGTCTCTGCCCTGCTGAGCCCGCCCAAAGTCCCATTCTGCAAACGGTGCTGCACCAGTTGAGTAGTCCTCGACTTACAACCGGTTGAGTAGTCCTCGACTTACGACCGGTTGGGGGTCGCGGCATTAAAAAGGTTGAGAACCACTGGTATATATGAACCATTCCACAAATACAAACTAGAGAGAAAGTTCCTCTTTCAACAAGGGTCACCAAACAAACATTATGCGGTGAATGCAAGGAGACCAAGTCACCACTGAGGTTTGCCCATATAGTTATTATAATTTTGATAAGGGAATTAATTCCCTTTTCTTTTATCATGAATAATGGAAAAAGGAAAGACAATGGATCCCTGTTGGTTGGGGACTTCCCTTTCTCTCTCTTGCTCAGCCAGTAAACCGGGGTCAAATTAGTTAATTAGCAACATTGATGAGAAAAGTCTTCCAAAATGTTATCCCAATCTTCATTTTTCTTAAAGTTGTGTAGTGTAAATGAAGATTTGTATATTTTTCAAGTCAAATATCCAGCTTTCAGTGGGAAAGACTTTAAGAAGAAAGGCACATCTTTCTTCTCCACCTCAATGACCAAGTTAGGCCTTTGACCAGGTTAAGCCATGATGCACAATGGAATTGAGACAAAGGAACGAACCCATTTGCTTAGGAAGTTGTAAGGATCAATATACTACTTTTGAACATCTATAGATGGAAGGAAGGAAGGAAGGAAGGAAGTCTGTATATTGGTTAGAAATTATTTGTAGTAATGATCTTCCATTTTAATTTTCCATCAACATGGCAGTTTAATGATTAAAGATTCCCACAAACACAGAGAACCCAAACATGACGCTGTCCTGGAAAAACATACTACCTGAGCAGGGTCAACTAAGTTTCAGCTGGAAAAATTCCAATTTTGTTTACCCTTTTCTTGGGTATTGTTAAAATAAAACTCATCCACTTTATAGTTCAATTTGTTTTGCCTTTCTTTTCAATCAAATGTTTATTTTCCTGAGTCCCTTTATCTCCAAAGGATCAAATGATCCTGAGATGTACAACTGTCATAAATTCATGCCAGTTACCAAGCACTTGAGTTTTTGATCACATGACTGTAGGGATGCTGTGACAGTCATAAGTGAAAGGACCAGTCATAGGTCACTTTTTTCAACCAATCAGCCTCAACAATCCTAGGAAGTAGGTTGGTCTTTTTAAAGAAAATGGACCAAAATTGCCCAATGACCTTCCATAGTTGAGGATAATCTAAAGCTTGGATTCTTCTACCCTTTTTCAACTTTGTTAACCATTATCACTAACTCTGATCATCATCATTTTTCACTGTTTTATACATGATGTTGGCCATAATGGTACATATTAGATAGAAAGATATAAAACACTGGTTTCTTTGCTTCAATAATATCTTCTGTAGCTTTTGCAGTTATCTTTCTTGATTGGGGACCTGGAAATGGCCTCATAAGAACCTCTCCCAAAGGTATAAAGCATGACATTGAAATATTTCTTATGTGTTTCTTGGTACACTGTCGGAAGGAGAAGTCGATGTTATTTCTTTTTAGACTGATTGCTTGCTTTTCTGAAGAGAAGAAGGTAATGGTGAACTTCTCCAGGTGTTAACTATAGGTCTTATCTTTATTCCATCTTGGAGGTCCTCTCTTAGCAACTGGAATAAACAAGTAATATGGGTGTCTTCTACCTGGCTTCAGAAAAAAATAATTGTTTAGAAGACAGGTAAGCAATGAACAAAAGAGAACCTACTAATGGATATTAGAGGTCAGTTTCAGAATTTGTGAGGTCATTTTGGCAGGATGCTGAGAAAAAATTAGGACAAGCCAAGATAGGTGTTTAAGAAGTCTGAGAATAATTATTGGTAGATTCTATATTTATATTTTCTACTTAATACTATCCTGGGTAATTAATACTCCTATTATATAGACATCTGATTATTTTTTGTCAAATAATCTCTTCTTTTGTTTTTTTCCCCTTTATGGACCTTATTTATGTCTTTCATTGCTCATGGGAGCTCAGTCCAAAAAGCATTGTGATGCAAGCTGACACTGGTTACTAATATGGACTAGGAATATGAAGTCTAGATAATGTCTAGAAGATAGGCAAGTAAACCTTTGTTACGGTCTTTGACCGACATGTGTATATATTCATAAAATATATATTAAAATGGGAATAAAAGAAGTAAAATAAAGAGGAAGAAAAGAACGGAAGGGGAAAGGAAAATGTTTTAATGGTATCAAACAAATATAGCAGTGAGGCAAAACTTGACATGCTGGGTGATAGCAGTCTTATGATCTGTTAAAAGCTATGAGATACCTCTCTTTAGTGAACAGATCTAAAATGGGGTTGATGGATGTGCTATATTTTCACATGGGTTGCCTATGTCCTATACTGCTGTATGGAATTGGCAGGACTGTGGGAATTGTGTAGCTTATGTGCCAATGTGGAGGGGACAGGTTGCTTTCATTCTACTAGCAGTGACATGGGTTACTAAGATAAAATCTAAAGTAGCTTCAGAAGCAAGTGAGACATCTATTTAGTGCACTGAGTGCTTGATATGTTGAGATAATAGATAGATGGATGAATAGATAAATAGATGGATGATAGATAGATGATAGACAGACAGACAGACAGACAGATGTAGAGAGACTGAGAGACAGACATAGAAATATGCAATTCAGCTAGACAATGTATGTACAAGGATTAGCACTGCCTAGTTAACTGCCAGAGAACAATATCCCAGACACAAGGCACAAGTCGTGTGTACAATAAAAAAAAACCTCCTGCTAGCAGTCAACACACAGATAAGCAGAAATTAACACCAATATTGATACTAGACTAACAGTCAAGCAGTAAACAATGTTCCAAATCAAAGAACTACCAGTACAGACAAACAATCAAACAACAATCTAATCAAGGAACTACCAAGAGCACATCAATGCGGACAGGGCAAACAATAAACAGAGACCCAACTCCCTTCTAGCACTGATGAGGTTACCTAGTTGGATAATGAAACGTACGCTAAAAAACAACCAAGCTCAGAGAGCACCAAGGACCCCAGAATTACACTGCATATTTTACTAGAATCCGAAAATTATTGCCACAATTAGTGAGTAATTAAAACCTGGTTCTTATACCTCCATTTGTCTCTGGTCGGTAGTGAAATTCTTTAAAATCGGATTCAAATGGTAAAGATTTTAATAAAACAAAAATTGGATGGAGAAGGAGTTGAGAATTTGATCTCTAGCTCAGTGAATGTTCTGGCTCCATTTCCAGTGGGGAAGTGGTAGCCCACTAAATATCAAAGAACTACAGTATGAAGAATCCACTGGATCATGGTAACTCAGACCTCTATACATTCTTTTTAATAAGGGCAACAAAAATGGTGCAAGGTCTGAGGGACAAAATATATCAGGAGATATTGGGGATACTGATTATGTACAGCCCTGAGGACAGAAGGGAAATGGGGAACATGATTGAAACCTTTAAATACTGTATATTCCGGCGTATAAGGCGACTAGGCTTATAAGACGACCCCCAACTTTTGAGAAGATTTTCAGGGTTTAGAAAGTCATCTTATACGCCAGAAAATACAGTACAATATTGAATTTCTGTTTATAGATGAGCACAATGGGAGCTCCTTTGCTGCAAAAAGCTTTGTTCTGTTAGTGTTTATTTCTGTAAAAAAAAAAAAATAGGGCTGGCCACTAGGGGGCAGATTGGTTTTAAATTCAGAGAATAGCTACCCGCATATTCCTGCGTATAAGACGACCCCTGACTTTTGAGAAGATTTTCAGAGTTTAGAAAGTCGTCTTATACAGTGGAAAATACGGTATATTAAGAGTGTGAATAAGGTTCTCAAAGAAAGTATTTTCAGTATTAAGCAAAAATCAAGAACACAACCGGAAGTTCAAAAGTCATGTTAGAAATTATTACTTTGTAGAAAGAATAGTGGAAGTTTGGGGCCAAGAGGAGGTAGTGGATCAATCATCAATAATTGAGTTTAAAAATGTTTGGGATAAACATGTCCATCATTGGACAAAAATTAAAAATTAAAATAAATAAATTAAAATAAGTAAAAATACATAAAGACATAAAATAGAAAACAAAAAACAAAAAAAATCTCAAAGCGTAGACTTGATGGACTACTAACTAACATCAGTTTTTTATGTTTCAAAGTTAATAATAATAATAATAATGTTATTTGTTTTAACAATGGAGATTTTGTTGATTCAGATTCGAGAATCAAGGGTATAAAGATAAAAAAGAATGAGTATAAATTGCAGGCTTTTGCGGATGATTTGGTTTTAACTTTGGAACAACCGACTCTAGTGGTTGATTGTCTATTAGAACTTATAACACAGTATGGGAAAGTTTCTGGTTTTAAAGTTAATAATCACAAGACTAAAATATTATCTAAGAATATGTCAACTAAGGATAAGGAAATTTTAGTTAAATCTACAGGTTTTCAGATGGTGAAAAAGTTTAAATACTTGGGAGTATATTTAATGCTTCAAATGGAAAATTGTATAAGAATAATTATGAATTATTATGGGCAAAAGTACAAAAGGATTTAAATGATTGGAAAAAATTGCAATTGTCATTGTTGGGGAGAATTTCAGCTGTAAAAATGAATGTTCTACCAAAGTTTCTTTTTTTGTTTCAGATGATACCTATTTTAAAAAAAGATGTAAATTTGGAGGAATGGCAGAAAGGTATCAATAAATTCATTTGGGCTGGGAAGAAACCAAGGATTAAGTTTAAGATTTTGCAAGATGCCTGAGAAAGAGGAGGACTTAAAGCACCTAATTTGAAATTATATTATGATGCAGCCACCTTAACTTGGATAAGTGATTGGCTTAATTTAACAAATAAGGATATTCTTTCTCTTGAAGGGTGGGATTTAATGTATGGTTGGCATGCATGCTTAATTTTTAATAAGAAAATTGATTGGGCTTTTAAATCACATATTTTGAGGAATGCTTTACTTCGAGTTTGGAAAAAGTATTATTATAGATTAAATTATAAAACACCTATTTGGGGGATTCCTGGACATGCAATTGAGGGAATTTCTAAGGGGATGAATTTTGATAAAATCTCGTATAAAGAATTATTAACTTGGTCAGGTTCGGATTGGCATTTAAAATCCTTAGATGTATTAAGGCAAGAAAATATTTTACAGTCATGGTTTCAATATTTACAAATAGTGGACAGGTGGACTGTAGATAAGAAAGAGGGAATAACATTAGGAGATGAAAATTTGGTAACTCAGATTAAAGATCAGAATCAGGCTCATATAAAAAGAATTTATAATGTTTTAATAGAATTAGATTCGGAAACAGAATTGGTTAAAGATTGTATGATTAAATGGGCTCAGAATATCCAGGAACCGATCCCATTGGATTTATGGGAGATAATTTGGATTAGAAATGTTAAATTTACACAAGCTTAAAATTTGAGGGAAAATTTTTATAAAATGTTTTATAGGTGGCATTTAGATCCTAAAAAATTATCTTGTATGTATTCTAACTTACAACCCAAATGTTGGAGGTGTGGTAATACGGATGCAACTTATTTTCATGTTTGGTGGAATTGTAAAAAGGTAAAGGCTTTTTGGATTATGATTTGGTGGAACATTCAAAAGATTTTTAAAAGGAAGATAAAGTTTACTTCTCAATTATTTTTATTGAGTATTTTTGTGGATTTAGATGATAAAGAAACTATTTTAATGTTGAATTTATTAACTGCAGCAAGGTTATTAGTAGGTTCATATTGGAAGAAAGATTCGTTGCCTACTTTAGAAGAATGGATATTTAAAGTTTCTAATTTAGCAGAAATGGCAAAAAATTCTGCTTATTTAAAGAATCATACAGAAGAAAGATATATTATTGTAAATGGAGAAGATGGATAGATTATATTCAGAAGAAGTATGGGACTATAAAGTTTCATTTATTTTATGAGTAAATCTTATAGTAAATGTTTTATAAGAGATTTGTTTATGATGATATAATTTAAGGGGAGTTAAGGGCTAAGTATGATTTTTTTTCTTTCTTTCTTTTCTTTTTTCTTTTTTACTGTATATTGTTAATTTTGTTATTAATAACCCTGTACTCTGCTCTGGGAAGTGAGGGGGGGGTTGAGGGTGGGTGGGTGGGTGAGTGGGTGGGTAAATAGGTAGATAAATAGGATAATATAGATAGGGTAATTTATGAGAGAGGTGCTGCTTGGGCATTCCCCCTACGCTGTATTCCTGTATTCGGGAGGGATGAGAGGGGAGAAAGGTGAAGGGAGGAAGTAGGATGGTAAGAGGAGAAGGGGAGGGGAAGAGAGTAGTGAGGGGAGGAGAGAAAGAGGAGGGAAGTAAGGAAGGTATTAGGGAGGGTGGATGCAGCTTGGGGGGGAGCAAGCGGCACCTATGGTTATGGTTATGATTATGAATTTATTTTATTTTGCAAAGTGAATTTTGTTGTATAATTATGTTGGATAAATGGAAAATAAAAAAAATTAATAAAAAAAATAATAAAGTTGGAAGGGTAATAGATACTGAAATTGACATTATTTCTCTTTCTACTATATGGATCATTGAGGTCTCTTCATTTTTTTCATACCTGAAGAGAAAGCCATTGGTCATTGTACCACATGATCACTGATTAGGAGGAGAAGATGCTAGAGGTGGCAACACTAAATAACTGTATTTTTTCTTTATAAGGTCCTGTTGCCTTCATGAATGCTTCAACAATCACAGAATTTGTCTTCCCGGGTCTTTCCAGTTCTCGGCCCATCCAGCTCCTTCTATCTGTCCTGGTAATGATGTGTTACACTGCCATTCTGATGGGCAACCTCCTTATTGTAGTAACTGTCCATATAGATCCATGCCTTCTAAGGTCACCCATGTATTTTTTCTTAGCCAATTTATCCATCATTGATACTGCCCTAAGTTCAGTGGTTGTTCCTAAGATGGCAACAGATCTGATTACCCATGGTAACTCTATTTCATATGGAGACTGCATGTCCCAGCTCTTTTTTCTACATGTCTTTGGAGGTTCAGAAGTGTTTCTTCTTACTCTCATGGCCTACGATCGCTATGTGGCCATTTGCCATCCACTGACATACATAATCAAGATGAACCGTCCACGCTGCATTAGACTGTTGTGTTGGTGTTGGGCTGGAGGCCTCCTTCACTCTGGCAGCCAGTTGTTCCTGGTCCTGCAGCTCCCGTTCTGTGGGCCAAATGAAGTGGACAATTTCTTTTGTGATGTTCCACAGGTAGTCAAGCTGGCTTGTGTTGATACCCATGTCACTGAGATGCTCATGGTGGCCAATAGTGGCCTCATCAACCTGGTTTGTTTTATCATCTTGCTGATCTCCTATGGCATCATCCTGCATGCACTTCAAGGTCGCTTAAAGGAGAGTGGGGGGAAGGCTCTGTACACCTGCAGCTCTCACCTGATCGTGGTCAGCATTTTTTTCCTACCTTGCCTCTTTGTATACCTTATTCCTATCTTCAGCACCAGTTTGGACAAGATATCTTCTATATTTTATACCACAATTACTCCTTTCCTTAATCCTATGATATATTCTCTAAGAAATCAGGAAATGAAGGAAGCAATGGGCCGGGTGACAAAGAAATTCATATTTAAGGACTGGTATCAGAAGAAAGGAAAAGTCTGGTAGAAGTTTCAAAATTCCTTTTTGGTCCTTGAGATAATCTTTTCTGGAGTTATTCTTATCACCAGAAAAGTAATGAGGGGTAAAGTCCACCAATCTATGATTTATTAATCTCCCAGATAAAGCAGGAATAACTCTTTTAGAGCCAATATTTGTTTATTAATTATTAGGAAATATAGATCGCTGTCCATCTTGTACATGAACTCTAGGTAGCTAAGAACAAGACATAATAAACAATATAATACTTCAATCAAATAAAAACAGAATTAAAATACTCGTAACACAATAGTCAAGTAACTGTATTCTAAGCAGACACACAAAAACTGCAATAATACTTGATCCAGTGTTTTGGGGTAGAATTGAACTCTGTAGTTAATGACAACATGTGTGCCTTATACTTTGAAAAATGTGTAGCTATTGTTCCCTTAGCAGTAAGTACTCAAATAGGAAAAGAGTTGGTAGACATGGAATAAGTCAATTAAAATATTAAAGAGATTATTGCCTGCAAATAATTTGCTAAGTCTTCCTATTTGGAAGGTAATGTTTACTGGTCAATGTGAGTACCAAGGCTAATGTCACTTCTTTTCTCATTAAACTCTCCACCTTCCACTCAACAGAGATGTTCCCTCAACATCTCTTGTGGGAAGGACTTCAACTGAGAATGTAGTTGCGTTGCCAATAAGTTTTCCTAATGTTCAGCTGGAAAAATTCTAAAATTGTTTAACTTTTTAATTTTATTAAAATAAAACTCATTCACCTTATGCTTCAGATTGTTTTGTCTTTCTACTGAGTCAAGTTTTTAATTTCTTGAGTTCCTTTATTTCCATGTCCCAAATGGCTATAAGCCAAACCAGTTTTTCCCATTGATTTTGCTTGTTGGAACCCAGCTGGGAATATTGCAGTGGTGATTATATGACCTCAACAATTGTTGTAATAACATGGCAACTGCCAAGCACCTGTATTTTTTAATCACATGACTAGGGATGCTGTGCAGTCATAAGTATGAAGACCATCCTAGGTTATTTTTTTTCAGTGTTGTTTTAACTTCAAATGTTTGCTAAACAAATGGTTGCTAGTCAAGGACTACCTGTAACACAATTGCTCAATGTCTATGGAGCTACTCAGTCATCCCCGTCATAGTCGTCTCAAAGGTGCTTTTTTTTTCCAAAAGGCAACTGGACTGTTTTTTCCTTGAAGAAGAAGAAAAAGATGTTTCACTTCTCATCCAAGAAGCTTCAACAGTTGTAATTGCTCAACAGTGTCTATGAACATGTTCATGACTGCACACTGGGAAGGATGTTCCTCTTTCAACAAGAGCCACCAGTCCAGCATTAGGCGGTAAATACAATGTGAGCAATTGGCCTCTCAGATTGGGCCATGAAATTATTATGCTTTTCATAAAGGAAACTCTTCCCTTTAAATGGGAAAGGAAGCAAAAATATATTCCTATTGCTTTTGTAAATGGGATACCCTCTCTCTGTCTTGCTTAGTCAGCAGGTAGATACCCCATTTGTTAAAGAAGAATACTGATGAAGAAACCTTCCAAATTTTAACCTTAGTTTCAAATTTCAAATAATGTAGTATGTATGTATGTATTATGACATACAGATATAATCCTAAATTATTCCAATATCCTGCTTTTAGAAGAATTGACTTTTAAAAGCCCTGACACATGTTATTGCTAGACATTGTTGACCAAGCTAGTTCATGATGCACACACGAGTTTGGACAAAGAAGCTCAATTGCTTCGAATGCCATGTGCATTCAATATACTGCTTATAAATGCTTCCATTCTCTTTGTCAAAGGAAGGAAGGAAGGAAGGAAGGAAGGAAGGAAGGAAGGAAGGAAGGAAGGAAGGAAGGAAGGAAGGAAGTCAATCCATATTTTGGTTAGTAATGATTTGCAATCAGGATCTACTCTCTTGATTTTCCATCAATGTGGGTTTGTGGGTATCATTAAGCTCTTAGAATAGAGCTCAGTCATCCCACAAACATACAGGAGTTGTTCCTAAGCCAGGAGTCGAATGTATGGTATGTTACTGAATTTTAAATATGTTTCCAGAACATGATGAAGGACAGAGTTCAGTATTATCTGAAGAGCTGCCATTATCATTTTATTGCAATAATTCCATCAGCAGCCTTCTCTGATGCCAATTTAAATTCCATTTCACCCTGCAACATGGGAAACAAAAGGAGACCACCACCACCACCACCACCTCCTGATCATCATCATCATCGTCATCACCACCATCATCATCTAATTTATTTACTAGATTTTTTCATACAGGAGCTCAAGTGCTCCCCCATGGTTTTCAATCAATCAACCACAACCCTAAGAAAGAGGTTGGGTTGTTAGAGAAAATGGTCCAAAGTTATCAAATAAGCTTCCCTGGTTGAAGATAAACTAGAACTGGGAACCCATGCCCATTTTCAATCCTTTTAACCACTGTTCCCCGTTAACTCTCATCATCATGATATAATGATGCATATTAGAAAAAAAGATGTAATAAAATCTAATCTTTTTCTTTCCATATCTTCTTTTGCTTTTGCAATTATCTTTCCTGACTGGGGACCTGGAAATGGCCTCATAAGAATGTTTCCCAAAGGTATAATAAAAAGACACTGAATATTTCTTATGTGTTTCTTGGTACACCGCTGAAAGGAGAAGTAAGTGTTATTCATTGTTAGTCTGATTGCTTGCTTTTCTGAAGAGGAAAAAAGGTAATGGTGAACCTCTCCAGATGTTAACTTTTAGGTGTTACCTTTATTCCAGCTTGGAGGTCCTCTTAGCAACTGGAATGAACAGGTATGGGTTTCTATCACTTGGCTTCAGAAAGGGAATAGTTAATCAGAAGATACTGTAGGTGAGCAATGAACAACAGAGAGCTGCTAATTGATGTTAGAGGTCAGTTTAAGAGTTTTGAGGTCATTTTGTCAAATTAGTGAGAACAAATTAGACCTTGACTGGGTGTTACTGGATGGTTAAGTTTTCTTTCTACACTAGATTTCCTTGTTTCTTACATTTAGATCATATCTGTGCATACACTTTGGAATATTGCTGCTGCTTATGCTACTGATCTTCATTTTTAAGTTTCCAGACATCTCTGAAATATTAATGGAAGAGATTCAGGATGTGGCTGGATAATTCTCATTTACTTCATTTCATGTTTGGCAAAGGCAAATTACACAAGATTTGGATCTCTTCGGAAAAATGTGCTTCATCAGCTAAATATGAAATTCTTTGAAAGATTTTCCAGTTCTGTCCTACAAAATGGTATGGATTAATAAAGCAAAATTTGGGTGTAAAGGGAGTTGAGAATTTGCTCTCTGGTTCAGTGAAAGTTCTGGCTGTAGTCCCCAGTGAGGAAGCTACTAAAAATTGCAGAACTATGGTATCAAGAATCCACTGGATCACAGTAATTCAGACCTCTATAATCTAAGGGAAGAACCAGGAGGGTCAGCTAGTGAATAGATATTGAAACTGACATTACTTTTCTTTGTATCATATGACAAATTGGGCTGACTTTACTGGTTACTGGGAAAACATGCTGGAAATGGCAATAGTAAATAATTGTCTTTTATCTTTGTAAGGTCCTATCAACTTCATGAATGCCTCCAGAGTTACAGAATTCACCTTCTTGGGTCTTTCCAAATCTGGACCAACACAGTTTCTTCTATCTGTCCTGGTCACCATGTGCTATACTGGTATTCTGTTGGGAAACCTCCTCATTGTATCGATGGTGTATATAGATTCACACCTTCTAAGGTCACCCATGTATTTTTTCTTAGCTAATTTGTCCATCCTTGATACTGCTTTGAGTTCAGTGGTTGTTCCCAAGCTGGCAACAGACTTGATCACCCAAAGCAGGACTATCTCATTTAGAGGCTGTATGTCCCAGATCTTTTTCTTACACTTCTTTGGAGGTTCAGAGATGCTCCTCCTAACTCTCATGGCGTATGATCGCTATGTGGCCATTTGCCATCCACTGACATACACAACCATGATGAACCGGCCACGCTGCATTAGACTGATGTGCTTCTGTTGGTTTGGAGGCCTCCTCCACTCTTCTAGCCAGTTGTTCCTGATCTTACGGCTGCCATTCTGTGGGCCAAATGAAGTGGACAATTTCTTTTGTGATGTTCCACAGGTAGTCAAACTAGCTTGCGTTGACACCCGTGTCACTGAGATACTCATGGTGGCCAATAGCGGCCTGCTCTCCCTGGTTTGTTTCATCATCTTGCTGATCTCCTATGGCATCATCCTGAGCACCTTTCAAGGTCGCTTCAAGGAGAGTGGAAGGAAGGCTCTGTACACCTGCAGCTCTCACCTGACAGTGGTCAGCCTTTTCTTCCTACCTTGCCTCTTTGTGTACCTTGTCCCCATCTTCAGCGCCAGTCTGGACAAGGTGTCTTCCGTATTTTATACCACAATAACACCTTTCCTTAATCCTATGATATATTCTCTAAGAAATCAGGAAATGAAAGAGGCAATGAGACGGGCGAAGAACAAATGCATTTTTCCCCATTGGTCTTAGAAGAATTGGAAACTATGAGTAGATGCCTCAAAAATCTTTGTGATTTTAGAGATCAGCTTTTTTGGAATAATTCTTGTTACTACTAAAGGAGTAATTGCAGATCTGTTCAACATACAAGTCCAAGTCACCATGTATGGTCATTCAAGTCCCCCAAATAGAAGAGGGTGATCTTTTTCAGAGCCAATGTATGTTTGTTTGTTTAGAAAATTTACATCGCTACTCATGTTACATATGAAAAACAGGGAGCTAATGATGAGGTCAATTCAATAAAACCTCTCCTGATCAATCAAAAACAGTAAAAAAATTAGCATAATATAATAATCAAGGCATTGTATACCAAACTCAACAACAAACAGCACACATACATATATTCTGCAAGTAAATAGCTATTTGGAAGATCAGGTTTGCAGGTCAATGTGCACCCAAGGCTGAAGTCAAATGTTTTCTCATCAGTCTCTCTCCCAACAAACTAACCCAAATGGAAGAATTTGATTCCAATGTTTTGGGTCCACCAATTTTGGGGTCATCTCAATATCACTGGTCATAAGCTTTGGTCAGTAGAGGAGAATGTAAACTGAAGCATCGTGCTCTTCCTTTTCTTTATGGGACAGATTTCCAAAAACTAAATCTCAGAAATGCAAAGTCATAAGTATTTTCTGCATTATCCTTACATGTTTATCCAGAATGTTTTCACATATTTGCAGGACCACTACATATGATAGCATTTACCTGGATTTTGATTACATTTCCAACACTTGTTAGAGGTCCCTCTATATATTTAGCTAATCTATCTGGAGTCACATATCAATGAAACGTCATTTTATTTAAAAAAATTCTTCAAAACTATAATTCAAAGTAAATTTTAATCCATTTGTCCATACATTCTCCTATTTGTCTAGTGCTATATTATGCCCCCCCCCAATTGCTTATTTTACCATACAGTCTTTTACATATTCATCTTCCAGGTTCATCTTAAGTAACATTTTATATACTATAGCAATCAATTGGTCATCTCCAGAACATGAATGGACATCCAATTCAGTTTTAACTCCTGTTTAACTTTCTTGTTAAATAAGGATGAGAAAGTTTATAACTATTTGCAGACCTATTATGTAAAGGGAGGAGAATTTCTCATGGGTTTTTTTTTCAGCATCCAGCCAGGGTGGAATTTTTTTTTTATGTTTATTGTTGGCTGTTTGGGACATTTTTTCCCTTTTTCCCTTTGTTGTTGTTACTGTTGTATGTATATTTTTTTCTGTTTTGTATTTTATTCCCATTGATAAAACACAATAAATGTAATAATAAAATAAAAAATAAATACAAAGTCATGTGCTGCATTTGTACAATAGGCTAACTTAATGCTGAAGTATTTTTGATCCATTTTCATGCTGAATCAAAAACCCATCAGTAAAGTTGTGCTTCCTAATAAATTAAACCAACAAATTTAAGCAAAGTTGGGATATACAGTATACTTTCTTAATACACCCCCCAGTGTATAACCCTTTTTAATGACGTTGTGCAAATCCAAAAGCTCACAACTATAACAGAATGACAGAATTGGAAGGGACCTTGGAGGTCTTCTAGTCCAACCCCCTGCTCAAGCAGGAGACTTTGTACCATTCCAGACAAGTGGCTGTCCAATCTCTTCTTAAAAGCCTCCAGTGATGGAGCACCCACAACTTCTGAAAGGCAAGCTGTTCCACCAGTTAATTTTCCTCAGTATCTCCTTAGTTCTGGGATGGTTCTTTCTTTGATTGTTTCTTCTCCTACTTCAGTGATGGAGAACCTTTTAGAGACCGAGTGCCCAAACTGCAACCCAAAACCCACTTATGCATCGTTGGGTGCCGGGTGGGTTTGGCCCATTGCTGGGTGTGGCCCATTGGTTGGATATGGCCCATTGGGTGGGTGTGGCCAATTGGGTGGGCGTGGCTGTGGTGGTAACGGCAGACTGGGTGGGACTAAAAAGTTCAATCAATCAATTCCAACTTTGCAAGATCTTTTTTTTCCCCATGAGAAGTTGAAATTGACTGATTGATTGAACCTTTTTGTGTGTGTGTGCACATGGCAGTGGCGGCCTAAAGCGAAAAGGTTTTATAAAACCCAGCTGAAGGCCTAGGACTGGGGTGACGGCACGCGTGTCCACAGAGAGGGCTCTGAGTGCCACCTCTGGCACTCGTGCCATAGGTTCGCCACCATTGTCCTACTTTCAGATTCTTTGGAGAATAGGTTGACCCCCCCCTTCTTTGTGGCAGTCCCTCAGATATTGGAATACTGCTATAATGTCACTCCTAGTCCTTCTTTTCACTATATATTGTGGCCTCATTGTACCCATGAAAAAACAGTATAAGAAGGATATGGGAGTCCTCTTGATATTCTTGAACTCAAAATCTCATTAACATCATTTGTATAGAAGGAGGCCAGAATTATGAGGACTTCAGGGCTATTATCATCCCTCTAGTGCAGGGATCCCTAACCCCCGGTCTGTGAACTGGTACCAGGCTGCAGCATGCCAGCAACCGGGCTGCACAAATAAACAAAACCTCATCCGCGAGATGCAGGCAGCCCACAAAACTACACATTCTCCGGTCCATGGAAAAACTTCTCTCCACGGAACCGGTCCCTGATGCCCAAAAGGTTGGGGACCTCTGCTCTAGTGGTTAGAGCATTGGGGTAGAGCTTGTAATTGTGAGGCTCAATCCTTTGTTTAGAATCTGTTGATGTGCCAGGAATCACATGGCTGGCTCAACTTAGATCTTAGGCAAGTTGGGAGGATGAAATGAAACATAGAAAACTGCTTATATTATTAAGTCCTTTTCTGAAAGCATTGCCATATAAAGTTGAAGATACTTCTTCCTCCATTTTACAAACACCAATTTTATATTAGAAGGCCTGTGGCTGGATTTTATTTATATTCAGAAAAGTGATTTATATTGATCTAAAGCAACATGTTTAGGCATTGTGAGTCTTCTCAAACCTGGTGCTCCTCTCATGCACAATGGCTGTGTTCCCGCATCTTGGTAAGTCACAGTTTCTTTTAGATGTTGGTTTCCACATTGGTTGAAACCATTTATATGAAAGCCAACCCCCACCCCACCCCCAGCAAAAAAAACCACAACCCAGCAATAGTTTGATCTTGTGTGAATTAATCCACGAGGAAAAAGTTCCATTTCAACAAGGACAAACAATGTCAGATTATGCAGTGAATGCAAGGAGACCAAGTCACCATTTACACTTGGCCATGCAAGGATTATAATTTTGATAAGGGAAATTCCTCCCTTTATTTTTTATGAAATTGGAAAGGAAGGAAGAATAGATCCCCCTTATCTTTGCGAGTGGGCTATATTCTTTCTGCCTTGCTCAGCCAGTAGACATGGGCTGAATTTATTAGAGTAGAACTTTGATGGAGAAGAATTTCTTTAATCCCAATGTGCATTGGTTGCAAAGGAGCATAGCATAAATGGATATGAATACATGAAACATGGATATTTTCCAAGACAAATGTCCTACTTTCGGGGAAAGGACTTTTATATAAAAAAACCCTTTGCAACACTGACCATGTTGCACAACTGGTTTATGACACAAATTGCTGAAATATGTGAGAAGTAAGCATGTTCTTTTCAAATATTTCTATAATCTTTGAAGAAAGGAAGGAAGGAAGGAAGGAAGGAAGGAAGGAAGGAAGGAGGGAGGGAGGGAGGGAGGGAGGGAGGGGGGAGGGAGGGAGGGAGAGGGAGGGAGGGAGGGAGAAATCAGTTTGCTTAGAAATATTGGCAATAGTGACTTCCATTTTGATTTTCCATTATTGTGGATTGGGTCAGAATGGGGCGCAGTAATTCCCACAAACAGAGAAGCAAAGTCTATGACACATTTCTGAATATTTAGTATCCCAAAGGTGCTTTTTCACTAGGCATCTGATCTTTCATGTTTTTCTTTGAAGACATTTCACTTCTCATTCAAGAAGCTTCTTCAGTTCTGACTGGATGGTGGGGAATGGAAGGATTTATACTCCTTGCAGACAACTGGTCATTTGCATTCTTTCAGCAAATCATTAAAGCTACCTGGAGGCTTATCTGTGTCCTCAGGGTCACCTGAGTAATGCAAATGCGTGTGGAGCCTTCCTGGAACTGCTGAAAGGACTGTTGTAGACCGGAGATGAATGATGTCCTATCCCTCCCCCTCTGTTGAGACAGGGCTGTTAAATTTTGACATAGATGGCCTCTTTGACCCCTCTTTCAAACCAGCAGTTTTCTCTGTCCAAAATCTGGACTTTGCTGTCTTCAAAAGGGTGGCCTTTGTCTTTTAAGGATGACTGAGAATCTCCATAGACTAATATTCAATATGCTTTCTGAGCAGGATAGAAAGCAGAATTGTGTATTATCTATTGGGTTGCCATTGTTCCCTCATTAGCAAGCCTTTTTCAAGTTATGACTACTTCACCCCCTTTTAAATGTACAGTGCTGAAGGCAAAAGGAATATATCAGTTTCATTTACTCATTAGATTTTGTTTGTATAGAACATGGTTCTCAACCTTCCTAATGTCGCGACCCTTTAATACAGTTCCTCATGTTGTGGTGACCCCCAACCATAAAATCACTTTTGTTGCTACTTCATAACTGTAATTTTGCTACTGTTTTGAATCGTAATGTAAATATCTGATATGCAGGGTGTATTTTCATTGTTATGAATTGAACATAACTAAATCATAGTGATTAATCACAAAAATAATATAGCAACGCTTGCTGGAGAAACTTACTCTTCCTTGCTGATAAATGTTGGGAGGGAGGGAAGGGGAAGGAAGGAAGGAAAATTGAAGGGGAAAGGAAGGAGATGGAGAAGGAAGGAGATTGAAGGGGAAAGAAAGGAAGGAAGATTGAAGGGGAAAGGAAGGAGATGGAGAAGGAAGGAGATTGAAGGGGAAAGGAAGGAAGGAAGGAAGGAAGGAAGGAAGGAAGGAAGGAAGGAAGGAAGGAAGGAAGGAAGGAAGGAAGGAGAGAGAGAGAGAGAGATTGAAGGGGATGGAGATGGAGATGGAAAGAAGGAAGGAAGATTGAAGGGGAAAGGAAGGAGATGGAGAAGGAAGGAGATTGAAGGGGGAAGGAAGGAAGGAAGGAAGGATCTTTGGAGAGTCATGTTTTCCCAGATGGTGATGAACTGCAACTCCTAGCATTCCCCACTCTTCCACTCTTTAGGGCTGCTGGGGATGGTAGTCTGGAGCCCCCATCCTCATCCCGGCACTTCTTGCCCTCTCCCAGCCACCCCCTGGGACCTGCCTGCCCCTCCAGCCTCCTGAGCACCATCACAGTGGTGGGATCGTGGGAGCCCCTTTCGATGCCATATGGCCCTTCACCACCACGACCCTTTCCTGACTTGTCACACGCGAGAGGGGTGCGGCCGGAATGCCAGCTCCCGCTCAGAAGGCGCCGCTTCTCCCCTCCCGGCCCGTCCGGCTGGCCTCTGATGCACATGTGGGCATTGCCCTCTTCCCTGCTGCCTGGCCACTTCCGAGGCCTGGAGCCCAGTGAGCCAGGAAGGGGTTGCTCCTGCCTGCCAGCCCCAGGTCCGCGCCGGGTGCCAGAGGACCAAGGCGGCCTCCAATGGTGAGGGAGGCGGGCCAGATGGCACGGGGGAAGCTCCAGCATGGTGCGGAGGGCAGCTGGGGACAGAGCATGGCTGGGCAACCAGGAGGCGTGGGGACTGGCTTGGCGCTGCAGCTCAGCTCAGCCAGCAGTGGCAGAGCAACTCAGCGGCAGCGACAGCAGCAGCCCAGACTGGCTCAGCTTGGACTGGCCACCCATGCAGCTGAACCGGCCTGCGGCATCATTGGGGGCACATGTCAAGCCCTTGGGCTTGCCATGAGCTGGGAGCCTGGGAGGACGCAGCCAGCAGCCGTCCGACGTCGGCATGGCCCCCTGAGCACTGCCCGACTCCCAACAGTCAGCTGGGAGTCGGGTCGGTGTCCGGACATCGGTGGGGAACCAGTGGGGCCACTACACACTGCCCGGCTCCCGACAGCCAGCTGAGAGTTGCCCGCATGCGCACATCAGCTGAGAGTCAGCCCAGCCCCCGCGTGTCGGCCCAGCTCCTGGGAATCAGCTGGGAGTCAGCCCGGCTCCCGGCCAGCAGCTGGGAGTCGGCATGGCCACCGTGGGATGGCACTGCAGCAGCAGGAGCAGGTGCTGGTGGAGGCAGAGGAGCCGGTGGAGGAGGAGGAGGAGGGCGGATAGAAGAAAAGGCCTCCGTAGAATGGTACCCCCTATTTCCAACCTCCAGAACCAACACAGGATGATGTCATGGTCCACAATATTGAAAGCCACTGAGAGATCAAGGAGCACAAAGATGGCTATACCATCTTCATCCTGGTTCTGCCACGGGTAATCAACAAGTGTAACCAAGACCATTTCTGTACTAAATCCTGGCCTGAATCCCAATTGTAATGGGCCTAGATAAATCGCTTCTTCCAAGGTTCTTGTAAACTGTTGACTAACCACCTTTTCAACAATTGTTTGCCTTGATAGGGAGACCAGACAGGAAACACAACCAGATGAGCAAATTATACTTTATTGTAAAGCTAGCAGGAGAGAGGGACAGGGACAGGGAAAGAGGGAGAGATCCATATTTTGGTTGTAAATAATTTGCAGTAATTAATTTCCATTTTGATTTTCCTTTGGAATGGAGCCCAAGTATTAACGCAAACACAGACAAGCCAAAACTGTGACACATCCCTATTAAATATGCTTTCTGAGCAGGATGGAGGTCAATATCCTATATTACTTTCTCATTACAGAATTGCTGGCTGTGGAATTCTGGGAATTGAAGTCCACATGCCTTAAAATTGTCCAGGTTGAGAAACACTGTTCTAATTACAGATAGTTCTTAACTCACAACTATAATGGAGCCTGAAATTTCTTTTGTATGTCATGATAATCATCAGTCAAAATATCCACAAGGCTGACCCAATTTTACAACATATTTGTGGCAGTTGTTAAATGATGCCATGGTTATAAAATGAAGTCATTGTCCGGAATGGGCATTTTTTGCCAGAAACAAAGAAGTAAGCAGTTGTTTTTGGCAATAAACATAAATCACAGTCACATGACTACTGGATATTGCAAACTGTCGTAAATGTGGGCCAGCTGACAAACATCCAAAATGCAAACATATGACTCTGTGTGTATATGTGGGGGGGGGGGGAGAAACCAACAAGGGTTGTTGGAACTTTAAATATGTTTTTTGGGAGTCCATCATAACTGACCAGTCGTAAGTTGAGAACTACATGTACTTAAGCACTACATTTCTATGTTCAGTATAGGAGACCACAAGGGCACATCCTTTATTTATTTGATTTGTATTCCATCCTTTTTTAATACATATTGCTTCCTCTTTTTCTGCCAAGTTTCAACAACCCTGTAAGGTAGGTTGGGCTGAGAAAGAGTGACTTCCCCAGAGTCTTGATGAGTTTCCACTGCTGCTAGAACCTGTGTCTCTTCATTGCCATTCAAAACCTTTAATCACTGCACCACACTAGCTCCCTGTCAAGTTTTGAAATCCCGTCTTGCTGGTGTGGCAGACATTGCTTCTCAACTTCCCAACAAGCTCAGGATGGGGAGAGGCTTGGAATGCAGACTTCAAAGATTAAGAAAGCAGACCGTGGGAATCAAGGACAATGGCCAGGTGTCTGCTGGATCTAGAGAAGCTTTCTCATAACAATATTTTCCAACTTGATTGGCCAACGTGACCTGGACCAGAGGGAGGAGGAAGAAGTCAATGCTTTTACTATGGGGGTTTGGTGAAGGGGTCTGCCAGAGCTAGTATTACTTTCATATGTGCTGATATGGTGTACTCAATTAAGTTTTGCATTAAGAGCCTGAAAAGAGTCAGAAGTGTTTGCTTCATTGGGTTCGCTAGCCAGAACCTTGACACTCTCATCTTGGTCAGAGAGAGCCAAACCAAGCTCCCATAATGTGCAAACATTGGGGCTGAACGCTGAAAGCTTCGCATGGCCTGGGATGAACAAACGATATTGAACCACAAATGAGCCAATGACCTCGCCTAGATATTTTATGTAGATTTTGAACATTAGAGGAGGAGAGAGTTGAATCTGGAGGCACCCCACAATGAAAGATCTCGTGAACAATGTCTCCCCCCAACCAACACCAAATGAAATTATCCCAGAGGAAGAAAAGGCCTCCGTAGAATGGTACCCCCTATTTCCAACCCCCAGACCCTTCCCAGAATGATATCATGGTCCACAATACTGAAAGCCACTGAGAGATCAAGGACCACAAAGTTGGCTGCACCACTTTCATCCTGGTTCAGCTGGTGGTGCATAGGTGCACATTAAAACAAAAATTCATGTCGCTGTCTACTCTCTTTCCTGCAGAAATATTTCCCTTTGTTTTTGCAATTATTTGATTTTAATCAGGGACCAGGGAAGGGCCTCAAAAGACTGGCTTCCCCAAGGCTTAATAAGAAGCTGCTGAAATATTTCTTACATGTTGCTTGGTGCAGCAGAGGCAGGAGAAGCAGGAGTCCTTCCCTTGTCACACCCTGCCCTTGATTTTCCAAAGAGGAAAAAAAGGTAACAGTAGGCTTCATCTGAGGGTGTGATCTTTATTGCATCTCGGAGGTCTCTCTAAGCAAGTAGAATGAACAGATAATGTGAGATTCCCCCATTTGGTTTCAGAAATAAAGTAACTGTAGAAGGCAGGTGAGTCCTGAACAAAGCAAGGCTACTAATTCAAAATTAAGAATTTTGGAATGACTTTGATATGCAGTGAGGATCTTGTCTATTTTGGGATGGGGGTTTGAGGAACTTGAGAACAAGGATTTGTAGTTCCATTTCGGCACTGATGCTATCCTGAGTCATTAGTCATTATCCTGAAATGGAGTGCTACTTGTTACACAAGCATCTGAAACACTCCTTTTATTCTTTATTTATTTTTTCTCTTTTATACTTTACCAATTTCCTTGATCTCTCAAGGGATCACAATTCTAAAGATATTATAAGGCAGGCTAACAATACATCTTGGGAATTAGAAGTAGAATGATAGACATGGAATCATGGACAGTTAGCAATCCTGAAAGATGGATAGTTTAAAGGTGGACTTAGCTAAAGACCTTAGAGTGGGATCCCAACCCATTGTTTTGTCCATTCTTTCGGATAATATGTCAAGGGCTGGAGAAATCAAGAGATTCAGACAGTTCAAATGAGTATAAAGATTTATTACAAGTTTAAGATCTCTACAAGAATCTAAACTACTAATGGTCAAGGAAAATTAGCAGGAGTTAAGAATAGAAAGAAATTCAAGGTGCACTGGACTTAGATCTCTTTTGGGCATGCAGGAACTCATGACTGATGATGCATTTGACCCTTCCCTCCGGGTCTGCCTGGTCATCTCCTACAGAACAGTTATAAAACAGTGTTGGCTTATTCTCTCTCTCTGTCTGTCTCTCTGTCTCTGTCTCTGTCTCTCTTTCTCTCTCTCTCTCTGGGCATGAGCACACACACACATATCATATGTGTGCTATATAACTTGGTGGAATGAGTGGGATGGTCGTCAGTATCCTGTTCCTATTGTGCTAGTTGCTCTCATTTTAATACCACAGAAATAGTTTACTGACCTAAAATCCAGAGCAGCTTTACAAGCACGCAAGCAAGTAGCTACCCAAGGAAGAAAAGGGAAGACAAATCTCACATAGATTCACATGCACATACAGAATTTTCTAGCAGACTGTAGCTACAGTACATGCCTACTTAATTGGTGCATACTGTAATTCTCCCTACACATTATGCTGACTTCTGATTATTCAAATCAGATTGCCGTAAGACATTTTTCAAGACTCTGAAAATGATTTGCTACAATGAGTGAATAAGTAAATCTTGACTCTTATGCTTCTGTTTATCTCCTGGTCAGAAATAGCAGATCTGATATAGGTTCAAGTTTTCAGGATTTAGTCAAAAGATGGGTGAATATCTGATCATCGAGAACTATGAATGGTACACACATGGACTTAAATCTGAGACTCATTTTCAGTGCGAGTTAATTCCGGATCAGCAGACATGATCTATTTAAAATGTTATATTTTCACCTTGAAAAATTATGAGAATTTTTGGGTTAGAAAAGAGCAGAATGGGGATCTAACTTCCACTCATTACTTCCCATAGAACCTCAGAATCAAGTAATTCTTGCAAAGAATCATATCTTAAATGGACTTTGGCTGGATAGGGACAGTCATTGCTTGTCACCCTTAGCTGGACAATTATAGGAGTCCTTTTCCATGGTGCTACTTGATGGTTAATGGTTCCTTTCTATGCTAGATTTCTCTGCTTCTTAGATCATATCAATGTATGCAACTTGGAGCATTACTGCTGTCATTAGTAATATTAATTTTTAATCCATCTGGAGATCTTTGAAGTACTGGTGGAAAAGATTCCGGAGATATCTGTTTATTTTGTGTTTGAGGAGCTACTTAAACAAGATCATGTGATTTCTCCCAAAAATAACCATTGTATTTCATGAGCTGCATATGAAATGTTTCATTTTCATTTTTCCATTATGAAAATGGAATAGATTAATGAATAAATTAATCTATACTGGGTGGGGGAAAATTTAGAATCTGCTTTCAGGTTCAGTGGAAATTTGGCTTCTTTCCCAATGAGAAACTGGTAGCCTTCCAAAAACTGAAGAATTACAGTACCCAGCATCTGCTTGCCCATGAAAACTCAGGTTTCTATGAACTGACTTGGAGTAGACAATGTGAAAAGCAATCTGAAGGGTGTCTTGTAATAGATATTGAAGTTAACATTGCTTCTCTTTGCACTATGTGGCATCAGGGGTTCATTTTATTTCTATGCAAATTTTTTATTGATCCATGTTATCATGAATTGTTAGAAGGTGTTGAAAGTTGTGGAGCTAAACTATTCTTGTTTCTATTGCAAGGTCGGTCACCTTCATGAATGCCTCCAGAGTTGCTGAATTCACCTTCTTGGGTCTTTCCAGATCTCGACCCATCCAACTCCTTCTAACTGTCTTGGTCATGATGTGTTATATTGCCACACTGTTGGGTAACATTCTCGTAATATTGACGGTACATGTAGATCCACGTCTTCTAAAGCTGCCCATGTACTTTTTCTTAGCGAATTTATCCATCATCGATGCTGCTTTGGGTTCAGTGGTGGTTCCCAAGGTGGCAACAGACCTGATTGTCTGTGGCAGGACAATCTCATTTGCAGGCTGTATGTCCCAGATCTTTTTCCTACACTTCCTTGGAGGTTCAGAGATGTTCCTCCTTACCCTCATGGCCTACGATCGCTATGTGGCCATTTGCCATCCATTGTCATACACAATCAAGATGAACCGGCCACGCTGCATTAGATTGCTGTGTTGGTGTTGGGCTGGAGGCTTCCTTCACTCTGGCAGTCAGCTGTTCCTGGTCCTGCAGCTCCCATTCTGTGGGCCAAATGAAGTGGACAATTTCTTTTGTGATGTTCCACAGATTGTCAAACTGGCTTGTGTTGATACCCGAGTGACTGAGATACTCTTGTTGGCGAATAGTGGTCTGCTGTCCCTGATGTGCTTCATCATTTTGCTGATCTCCTATGCCATCATCTTGACCACACTCCAAGGACATTTCAAAGAGAGTGGAGGGAAGGCTCTGTACACCTGCAGCGCTCATTTAACAGTAGTCAGCCTCATTTTTGTACCATGTCTCTTTGTGTACCTTGTCCCCCTGTTTAACACCAGTATGAACAAAACGGCTTCCATATTCTACACAATAGTCACTCCTCTTCTCAATCCTATCATATACACCTTAAGAAACCGAGATATGAGGGAGGCTATGAGCCAAGTACCCAGAAAATATATATTTCCCATTGTTGCACCACAGAAGAAAACTTAGGACTAATTGGTTTACAAATCTTTGGGTGAGGTGAGGCTGATGGCTCACTTTTGGGAGCTGAAAGTGAATATTTCTTTATGCAAATAAATATGTAGATATGGAAACCCATATATTTTTAAAATCTCGATCTGGTGTAGTTTTAATGCCTTAATATTTTAATTATTTTTCTATTTGCTTTATAACTGGAAAGCCACCCAGAGTCACCTTTCATGGGAGATAGATGGAATAAAAATTAATTAATTAATTAATTAATTAAATCCCCTGGACTCCCTCAGATGGAGCACATTCAGAGTTTTCAGAGGCAATTCCCCCACCTTCCTTGGCATATCAGAAACTAATCACGAATAAACCTTTTGCTGCAAATTGCCACAATTTTTAAACATATTTGATTTACATTTAATCACAATATTGTCATGTGTCTATAATTATCTAGATGTTACAAATGATGGCTTGATTACAGTTATTCAATAAAGTAGTATTCCCCGTTACTTAAATGTGTAATATTCATTTGTTCACATCATTTCCTAGCAACTTTCTGTTCTAGAATCCAAGAAGAGACTTTAAACCCATGAAGTGGGTTGATACCCCATATCTGAATCTTTGACTCCAACAGACCTTTCAGAAGATGCTTCACCATAGAAGCCAAGGATAATTTCATTGGAAGGTCATTCCATAACTAAGGGCCCACTCCCAAAAGGCCCTGCTCCTCATGATACCTTGAGTTTTTTGTGTGTGTTTATGTTTCTATTACATGCATGCATATGTACCTCAAATCAGTTTTGACTCCAGGAACTATATGGGCAAGATGATAGAGGTTTTTTGACAACATTTTAGGAAGTCATTTGCCACTTCCTTCTTCTTCCTAGGAAGAAAAGTAATTGGGTCAAAGTCACCCTATTGGCTGAGAGTAATTGGATTAAAGTCACCCTATTGGCTTCTGGACCTAAGGCAAGATTAACTTGGGTATACCTGTTTCTCAGGAATACTCATCTCAAGGCAGAGTCTGCTCCAAGCCAAAGCAAGGTTATCTCCATTTGCACATCTCATATCATGGTAATAGCCCTGTGTTTTGGACCTTGCATCTACATTTGTCTACTCTAGTGAAAAGAAGGACTAGAGATGACATGATAGCAGTGTTCCAATATCTAAGGATCTAAGGATCTGCCACAAAGAAGAGGAGGGCAATCTATTCTCCTAAAGGCAGGACAAGAAGCAATAGATGGAAAGCAACCTAGAACTGTCAGTTTCCTGACAGTTAGAAAAATTAATCAGTGGAATGACTTGCCTCCAGAATTGTGGGTGCTCCATTATTAGGGGTTTTTAAAGAAGAAACTGGACAACCATTTGCTCAGAATGGTATAGGATCTCCTACCATTGACAGGGGGTTGGACTACTAGAAGATCTTCAAGGCCCTTTGCAACACTCTTATTCCATGTTCTACTTTGCCACTTATTTCTTAGGAGCTATAGAGGGATTGGACAATCATTCTTCTGAAATGGTATAGAGTTTCCTACTTGAGCAAGAGGTTGGAGTAGAAGACCTCCAAGGTCCCTTCCAACTCTGTTAGTCTGTTATTTGTGCTCATCACTTCTGCAGCTTTTTCTTGGATAAGGCAGTTTCTGTTCTCTACACTGTCACCACTCCCATCCTGAGTCCCTTCATTTACACCCAGAGGAGCTAAACATTCCAAGCGGCTTTGGAAAAGCTCGAGGGAAGACAAGGAAAAGTGAGTCCCTGACTGTAGACATGTCTTTTTTATTCAAGAAAGTCCAAACACTTCAATTAAAAGAAAGTTAATGAGAGATAACTATCTTGGGAGTGCTAATAGCCAATACTTGTAATTCCATTGCATGAAAGGTCATTGGGATCCACCTAAATTATTTTCTATTTGCAAGGTAAGAAGTGTTATGAATTGTGGATGTTCCACTGCATTTGGAAACGTCTGGGAATTGAATTTCACACATCATAAAGTTGCCAAGGTTGAGAACCCCTGAACTAGACACTCTATGAACAAGGGAGCTGCAGCTCCTGAAAGTGTATGCCTTTTAATAGAATTTGCTAGTCAGAAAACCTGCTATCAGACTCCCGATTTTTTGACACTACAGACTAATATGATTAACATACCACAGGTACTACAAGGAAACCTCAGGACTGAGTGTAGAGGCAGCATGATTAGAAAAGAAGGCTGTAAGTTACCGTATATTCCAGCATATAAGGCGACTCGGCGTATAAGATGACCCCCGACTTCGGCACCAAGTTGCATGCCTAGAAAGTCGTCTTATACGCTGGAAACTACCATTATATCCGGTGTATAAGACGACTCGGTGTATAAGACAACCCCCGACTTCGGCGCCGATTTTAACGCTTGCGAAAGTTGTCTTATACGCCGGAAAGTACGGTATATTGACCTTCCTCTGCTCTTGACTGTCACCAAAGAAAAGAGTGTTACTTTCTCAAAAATCCAGAGACAGGGAAGAAATACATTTGGTTTACAGAGTTGTATAAATGTATTTATTTAGTCATTTTCAAACCAATACACTTGAAACCAATACATTTGCCTTTTTCTGTAATTTGCAAGGAAGTCCTTCAATTAATCAAGTGGTGTAGTGGTTAAGACTTCAGAAGATCATGAGTCCTAGATCCACTTGTGGTGCTAAGCACAAAGCACCAGCTAGTTGGTGACTTTGGGCTAGACATTTTCTCTCAGCCCTAGGAAAAGGGCAATGACAAATCACTCCTGGAAAACCTGACATAACTCAGGTCTGAGATTTCCCACACATCACTTACACCCCAGAAGACTAGTTCAGGATCCAAAAAAGATCTTGACAGACCTGAACAATGGGCCCTATCCAACAACTGAAATTTAATGTGGAGAAAAGCAAGGTTTTACACCTAGGCAGGAAAAAACAAAGGTATGAGTACAGATTAGGCAAAGCCTGGCTCAAAAACAGTAACTGTGAGAGGGATCTTGGAGTCCTATTGGAGAATCACTTAAACATGAGCCAGCACATTCTCTCTAAGGATTTCAATCTGAGAAGTGTCGTTTTGGTTTTTCCAAGATTAGGGCTGGTGAAGGGTATTTTCTGTTTTGCTCCTGAACTTTTCCTTGTAGCCAGTAACCATGATATGGTATGATGTTTGTATGGCTACTGTGACATTTCTATAAATACCTTGACAAAAATAACAGAATAACAGGGTTGGAAAGGACCATGAAGAATTCCTAGTCCAACCCCCTGCTCAAGCAGAAGACCCTATACCAGTGTTGGCGAACCTTTTAGAGACTGAGTGCCCAAACTGCAACTCAAAACCCACTTATGCATCGTCAGGTGCCGGCTGGGTGTGGCCCATTGGCTGGGTGTAGCCAATTGGGTGGTGTGGCCCATTGGGTGGGCATGGCTGCGGTGGCAACAGCAGACTGGGTGGGACTAAAAAGTTCAATCAATCGATTCCAACTTTGCAAGATCTTTTTTCCCCGCGAGAAGTTGAAATTGATTGATAAGCGAAAAGGTTTTATAAAACCCAGCTGAAGGCCTAGGACTGGAGTGACAGCACGTGTGCTCTGAGTGCTGCCTCTGGCACCTGTGCCATAAGTTCGCCACCACTGCCCTAAACTATTCTGGACAAATTGCTATCCTATCTTTTCTTTAAAATGCCCAGTGATGGAGCACCCACAACCTCTGAAGGCAAGACATTTCACTGATTAACTGTGGTCTAGAAAATTCTATTTAGTTCTAAGTTGGTTCTCTGCGTGATAAGTTTCCATCTGTTACTTTTGACCTGCCCACGGGTGCTTCAGAAAATAGGTTGACCCCCTCTTCAGTGTGACAACCCCTCATATATTGGAAGACTATCATGTCACCTCTAGTCATGACATAGTATTTCTATGCTATTTGCTTTCCTACATTATACAGGTATTAACATAATTCTTAAAAAATGCAAAAAAAAAATAGACAGGAGTACAGATAACAAGGAACACATCAATGTTCTTTAATATCAGCATGTTGCTTACAGACCCTTCATATTTTTCAGCTCTGAGTGTAACCTTTAGACCTATCTAGGGACCTCCTTAAAGTTTTGTCTTCTTCATCCCTCAAGGGAAAGAGACAAGTTGCACTTTTAATGATTTCCCCACAGAATTCACATATCTTCTAGCTGTCTACTGTGAATCCTTAACTGTTGCCCGATCCCAGATCCTTATGCTATTATGTAGTTGCATTTTGTAGGTCAATCTATATGTTCTTGAGAAGATGATCCTCCCACAGCAGGATGTCCTTTGTTGGTAGAAAGGAATTGCTTCTTCTCTTCAACTCTGTTGCTGGTAAGTATTACTAAAGCTTTGCTAATCACAATAAATGGAGATGTGACATCAAATGATCCATTGACATCAGATACTCCTTTATTTTACAATAGCAGTTTACCTCACAGAGGATGCTCCATACACACAGTAGGAAATAATTGGCTTTTAAAATTTGTACGTCTACAACTATCTGTATAATAAAACCATGCTATTATTTAATTTTGAATTTTTCTTCTAACATGTTTAAATCAGCAATGGGAATTTTACACTGAAGAAGAAAAGTGCGGTGGGGAGAGATGAACATAATATGAGAAATATATGTTATCAATAAAGGTAATGGTAGAAGTTCTTTAGGAATTGAGATGAAGGAAATTTCCAGAAACAACATTTCATACAAAAAAATAAATGAAGGCAAAAAAAATGGGTCCTGGTTTTGGACTATTTGTCTGATTTAAGAATAAATCAAGAGTTTTGGGGATATCAATAATAAAGCAAAGAAATGTGCTGAGAGAGACAGGAAGAAAAAAATTCAAAGAACAACAGCAGCAACAAAGGCACTGGCATAATGAGTATTATAGTTTCAAAAGGAAGGAAAACCAGCTCTCAAAGGGTCACCATCTCCGATATACACTACATAATTATGAATAAATAAATAAATAAATAAATGCAGAATTATGCATAAACCCACATATATTATATGACATAGAGAGACAGTACAGTCTAGTTTGGATTATGTATACATGTGCACGGGGCTTTTTTTCTCATAGAACATTCAGAACGGGGTTCCGGCACCTTTTTTGGATAGAACCTTGTAGGGTAGGCAAGGCAGGTTATATGACATGTGTGAGTTCTGGTACCTTTTTTTTTTTTTTTTAGAAAAAAAGCACTGCATGTGCATGGCAAGAAAAACGAATCTTGTGAGTTTACCAGATGGATGGCACAGGAAACAAAGCTATTACAGAATCGGGTTGTCCTGCTAATTACCTTAATCTATGAGGGAATTACATACATTTAAATCAGAAGGTCACAGAATTGCAAATATAATGAGACCTCTAAATATAATGGGGGGAAATTATCACAATTCCATCCTGTCCTCAAGGTTTAACACAATGTTTAAAAACTGAACTGCTTACTATGTACTAGAATACTGTCCTTTTCACTTTTTTCTTTCCCTCCTTTTCCATTGTTTCTATTTGTTTTTGTTTTCTATTTTTTTTTCTTCCTTTATTTCAGTAAATGTTTCCCATCTCCTAATGGGTCTACCTTTCATAAAGTAGTGGAAGGTAAAATTAATGGAGACGTATGTGAATAATTCTGTCTTAGTTTGCATCAGTTCTTTGTCTTAATTCAGTTGATCGGTTTCTTATTTCCCACTCTTTTTCCCACCATTTCTTCAATGTTGCCTGTTCCATTTTCCTTTTGTTTCCCAAAAATGAAGACTGGAACAAGAGTTGCTGAATCTGTAATGGTAGAGTCACCTTCTGCCCCATTTCACCCACCATCTATGGAAGTGAGAAACAGCTCTGACGTGACTGAGTTCATACTGATGGGTCTGTCCCACGAACGTGGCATCCAACTCTTTCTCTTTGCTCTATTCCTCATGTTTTATCTCATTGTCTTACCAAGCAATGTGCTGATTATTATTACCATCCGAGGAGATGCACATCTCAACTGCCCGATGTATTTTCTATTAGCCAACCTGGCTTTTTTAGATATCTGGTATTCTTCCATCACTGCACCCAAGATGTTGGTTGACTTCTTTGCCGAGCGCAAGGTCATTTCTTTCGGGGGCTGCATAGCTCAACTTTTCTTCCTCCATTTTGTGGGGGCCGCAGAGATGTTTCTACTCACCGTCATGGCCTATGATCGCTATGTTGCCATCTGCAAGCCTTTGTATTACTCAGTCCAGATGAGCCGGCGGCTTTGCGTCGTATTAGTGGTGGCTTCCTGGGTGGGAGGTTTTATCCATTCCCTCATCCAGGTGGTGCTGATTATCCGCCTCCCGTTCTGTGGGCCCAATGAACTGGACAATTATTTCTGTGACATCACCCAAGTGCTGAGAATCACCTGTACTGATACCTTCAGGGAGGAGATGGTCATGATCTTCAGCAGTGGCCTGATTTCCGTGGTCTGCTTTGTGGCACTCTTGGTTTCCTACGCCTTCTTGCTCACCGTGCTAAAGAAGAATGTGGGTGAATCAGCTAGTAAGGCTCTCTCTACCTGTTATTCTCACATCACCATTGTCATTTTCATGTTTGGTCCCGCCATCTACATCTATGCGCGTCCTTTTGATGAATATGCACCCGATAAAGTGGTCTCTGTCTTCCATACCATCATATTTCCCCTCTTAAACCCCATTATTTATACCCTCCGGAACAAGGAAATAACTACAGCCATGAAAAAGATGGTTCTTCAGTATCTCTTCTGCAGGAAATAAGTAGGATGATGTATTGACCCATTCTGTGGATTTATAAATTGCATTCCTGTTTACCAGGCTGATAATAAGCTAAGTGAGTTTTGCCCCATTTTACAATCTTTCTTGCCACATTTGTTAAGTGACCCACTGCAGTTGTTAAGTTGGTAACACAGTTGTTAACTGAATCTGGCTTCCACATTGACTTTGCTTGTCAGAATTTTACAAAAAGTGTGTTATGGCTTCCCTGCATGCCAGCTCAGTTGACAAGGAAAGCCAGCTCTGGGGAAGCCATTACAAGGTGATCACATGACCCCCAGGACACTGCAGTTGTCATCAATACGAGCCAGTTGCCAAGCATCCAAATGTTGATCACATGAACTTGGGGATGCCACGATGTCTGTAATGTGAAAACTGGTCATAAGTCACATTTTTCAGTGATGTAACTTCAAATAGCCACTAAGCAAATGATTGTAAGTCTTGTAGATCTCTTGAAATGTGATTTCTTTTGTGAGATGAAATAAAATGCTTGATGGGCCTCCTTTGTTTCTGTTTTTTCATGGGACATCTGTGCATATTTTGTGTAGAAGCTACCCTGTGGGCTATATACGCTCAGCTCTGTGTCACACAGTGGGAGGTAAGAGGGAGGGATACTTAAAATGGATCGGTCAGTAGCATTCCAAGATGTCTTCCCAAAGCTTCTTCAATTGGAGGAATTTTCTTACACATTTTTTCTCCATGATCCTGGCCAGGTATGGTTCATTCTTTCTTTTCTTGATGAAGTCAATGAACACGCAGTTTGTTTCTTTCTAATGTAAAAAGACAACTGTTTTAGATATTAATGGGGAATTACAGTGTCAAGTTTCGAAGCACAGACTTGCTGGAGTGACAGAACTTGCTTCTCAATTTGCCAATGAACTCAGGGAGAGGGGAGAGTCCGTGGAATGCAGACTTCAAAGATTAAGAAAGCAGACCATGGGAATCGAGGACAATTGCCAGGTGTCTGGCCAGACTCAGAGGTGCTCTCCCATAACAATATTTTATGACTTGATTGGGCAATGTGACCTGACCTGGAGGGGGAAGAAGAAGTCAATGCTTTTACTATGTGGGTTTGGGAGGGGTCTTGCCAGAGCTGGTTTTACTTTCATATGTGCCAAAATGGTGTACTCAGTAAAGCTATGCATTAAGAGATTGGAAAGTCTCGAAAGTGTTTGCTTGGTTGGGTTCGTCAGTTGACACACAGCTTGGAAGCACTTGGAAGGTCTTGGGTATGGGGAACAACAATAAGTAAACATGAACCTAGTGTGAAGCATCTTCCAGAATAGCTAATGCAGTTCTGGGCTGCCTCAGAGGAAGTGTTACACCAAAGTCTTGTCATTGTTGTTTGATTTTATCTTCTTGTACACCACCCAAAGATATTGCTATGTGATGGACAACCATGTAAATTGTTTAAATACACACACACACAAACACACACACACACACACACACACATCACTATCAACTTGGCACTGGTGACCTGAATTGTATCTGAAGAGGGATGAGAGGGAAGAAAGGAGAGGAGAAAGAAAAGAGTAAAGGAGGGGAGAAGGAAGTAGGAAGGTTGGAGGAGAAGAGGAGAAGTGGGGAGAAAGGGGAGGAGAGTGGTGAAGGAAAGAGAAGAGGAGAGGAAGAAGAGGGAAGTAGGGAAGAGAAGAAAGGGAGAAAGTGTGGATACAGTGAAAGGGGAAATGGGCGAGCAACACCAAAAGTCACATGTATGTATTTATTTCATTTTATTAAAAGTATCTTATCTATGAATGTAAAAAGAATGTATGTTAATATCTGATAAATATCACGGTATATGTATGGGGGAGAGTTTGGAAAAATAAAAAATTATTATTAAAAAAATCTTGGCACTGGTGAGACCACATTCTCAGAAGAGCATTGACAGACTAGAACATATGTAGAGAATAGCTGTGAAGATAACATGTCCAGCGAAGGTAGGTTGAAGGAACTTGAGATGTTCAATCTAAAAAGAACAGGGGAAGATGTGGATAATGGTATGTGGGACTGACCTTGGGAAACAGGAGAGAAAACATCAGACTGGACAACCAATATGCAAAAGATGTCTCAGCCCACAGAAGGGAAGATGGCATGGGAAACATTTCAGAAGGGACCCTCCCTAGTTTTCCAGAGACCAAAAGGGAAAAAGGCAGAAAATACTTTCATTTTTGCAAGATTCTCTTAATGTAACCTTACAATAAAGATAGAGTTAATACACTTCACTCTGCTCCTTATCTGGACTACTTCAAAGGGCTAACAACATAAAAGCTACATTCAGATTTATCAAGAGAATCTATGTAAGTTAAATCAATTAAAAATCATTAATGTGACTAATCTTAATAATAATAAAGTTGAAAGGGACCTTGGAGATCATATAGTCCAACCCCCTGCTCAGGCAGGAAACCCTATACCATTTCAGACATATGTTTAATAATTCCCTTTTTAGTCTCATTTAAAATTAGAACAGTAGGGCGAGGTTTGGGAATGTGCAAGCACAACTGCATTTCTGGTTACCCAACCTGTACTTTTCAGCTCATTTCAATCTTTTAATTCTTCTCTACTTCATTTCCCTTTATTATTTGTTTGCAGTGGAGTTCAGATTGTGACCTTCTTGGGGCAAGGAACTCTTCTTCTTACTCTCAGTAAAGAGATGCTCTCTGATTATGACCATTATTATGATTATGATAAATGATACATATTCCTTGACCATATGCTGATCTATTCCATAAGCATATGCTGGTCTATGACTGTAATAAAATTTGATTTGGTGGATTTCACATATAATTAAGGAATAGGTGACATATAAACAAGTAAGCAAGCAAAAGAATAAATAACAAATAATCTTTTAATGGGCCAAAATACTCTACTAGCTTTAATAAGTTGTGTAAGTTAGTTAGAACTTGGTCAGCATCTCCTCTGGGGCTGATTGACTGAGCAATCAATCTACCCAGGTCTTTAATGAGAACTCCCAATTGCCTTGCTGACATCCAAAGAGAGAAGTTTTTCCCATACTCTCATTTGCCAGTGTTACAGTCAGAGTCAGGGAGAATTCAAAAGCATTCAGTGATGCCCAAAGACCCCATTTTAAGATGTGATTTGACAGTAGGGAGAAGGGTTCTGTGCAACCTCAGGCAAGTATGTAAGGTAAGATGGATGGATCTGGTAAAATAATCTTAGGAGGGAAAAATACTAACGAAATTGTTCTTCAATGAAAACATGCATAAAAGTTGGAATCTGAACGTTAACTCTGCAACATTTATGGTAAGTCTGGCTTTAGACATTTTTGCAAATCATACAGGAAGTGGTAATTGTTTTGTCAGTTATTGAATCCAAGTTATAGGAATAAAAGATTTTGCTGCAGTATTTTCTTTCCTTCAAAGACCAGACAAAGGTATCTAATAAGTAGGACTTGATGGAATCAGTTTTTGCCTATTTATTTATCTCCAAAATATAAAATTCACAGGTATGTTGGGTCTAAAAGTGAATACTCTTTTGGGCTATTATATCAATTCTTTATTCATTTGTTCCTCTATGAAGTCATTCCTTCTGTTTTTCATCTCTCTCTCTCTCTTTCTCTCTCTCTCTCTCTCTCTCTCTCTCTCTCTCTCTCTCTCTCTCTCTCTCCTTCTCCACTTCCCTCCAAACACAGAAAAACTATGAATGTAATTCAGTTGACTGAAACATTATCACTTGAAGGCTAGCATCTGCATTTCTAAAATAAAATGCTCCTTATAGGTTTGTGTGTGATAATTTAAAAGTAAGAATGTGAAACTAGGAAAGGAAACCCAGCTTGCATAGAAAATGGGTAATCAGGGTGAGGCATAAAAGCATTATTTTGAAATACAGAAATAAGGTCATTTCTTGGGAAAAGGTTCAAGAGGTTTCCACGGGCCTGCTGATAATTTCAGCAAAAAGGGACATAGCATTGATAGGCATGTTCTATCACATGTCTCTTTAATAATAATAATAATAATAATAATAATAATAATAATAATAATAATAATAATAATAGTAATGGCTGTCCAGTCTCTTCTTAAAAACTTCCAGTGTTGGAGCATTCAGCACTTCTGGAGGCAGGTTGTTCCACTGGTTAATTGTTCTCACTATCAGGAAGTTTCTCCTTAGTTCTAGGTTGCTTCTCTCCTTGATTAGTTTCTATCCATTGCTTCTTGTGCTGCTTTGGAGAATAGCTTGACTCCCTCTTCTTTGTGGCAGCCCCTGAGATATTGGAACACTGCTATCATGTCCCCCCTTGTCCTTCTCTTCATTAAACTAGACATACCCAATTCTCGCAACCGTTCCTTATATTTTTTAGCCTCCAGTCCCCTAATCATCTTTGTTGCTCTTCTCTGTACTCTTTCTAGAGTCTCAACATCTTTTTTACATCGTGGTGGCCAAAACTGGATGCAGTATTCCAAGTGTGGCCTTACCAAGGCATTGAAGAGTGGTATTAATACTTCACGTGATCTTGATTTTATCCCTCTGTTAATGCAGCCTAGCACTGTGTTGGCCTTTTTGGTAGCTGCAGCACACGGCTGGCTCATATTTAGGTGATTGTCTACTAGGACTCCGAGATCCCTCTCACAGTTACTACTATTGAGCAAGGTACCCCTTATACTATACCTGTGCATTTGGTTTTTCTTCCTAAATAGTACACAATGTTTATGAAACTGTTTGTCATAGCCTGTGATGTTCTAGTGATGTTCCTTTAGTGGCCCTGGAAAAAGCTAGAGAAGATAAGCAGAAAGTATTTATTAAAAGTCTTTGCACAGAGATGAATAAATTGCAGTTTGGAGAAGTGAGAGGTGAAGAGGTACAGAGGCTCTTCAAAAACCCCATCAGCATCTTAGGAGCTGGCTGTCTCTCTAGATATCTGACTTTGATCGTCACTTAAAACATTAGAGCATTCATGAGGATTGGATATAAAGGAGGAGCCCACTTGATGCTCAAATTTTAATGAAGAAAAGGACCAGGGGGGACATGATAGCAGTGTTCCAATATCTCAGGAGCTGCCACAAAGAAGAGGGAGTCAAGCTATTTTCCAAAGCACCTGAAGGCAGGACAAGAAGCAACAGATGGAAACTAATCAAGGAGAGAAGCAACCTAGAACTAAGGAGAAACTTCCTAACAGTTAGAACAATTAACCAGTGGAACAACCTGCCTCCAGAAGCGGTGAATGCTCCAACACTGGAAGTTTTTAAGAAGAGACTGGACAGCCATTTGTCCGAAATGGTGAAGGGTTTCTGCCTGAGCAGGGGGTTGGACTAGATGACCTCCAAGGTCCCTTCCAATTTTATTATTATTATTATGGATCATCGCACAGTCAGCCAGATGTTCAAACTAGATTTGGCATTTTGTCTACCTATCGAGTCCTTACCCAGGACCTGGGATAGGCAGATGTGGATGTTTGATGGTACTATTATTATTATTATTATTATTATTATTATTATTATTATTATTCCCACATTGAATTTCCAGGTAGAATCATCATGACCCTCGCTTTAGCTCTAAGATGTAGCTTTTCTTATCTGTATGACTTTCCCACAACATACTTTCTTTGTCCTAAGGTGATTTAGCACACATTCACATTCATCCTGCATTTTATTCTCTGGTCTTACTACAGGTTCTCTTCCTCTCTCTCTCTCTCTCTCTCTTTCTCCCTTTCCCTTTCTCCCCTCTTCTCTCTCCTGTTTTTGCTGCATCATCTCCCTTTTCTCTTCTCTTCCTCCCTTTTTCTCCCTGTCCTTTGCCTACCTGTCTTTCTTCCTGTTTAACACTGAAATTTGCAAAACCTTCCCTTACCACCAATGAACTTAACAGAGGGAGGAGATGTAGCACAAAATGAAGGAGAGTTGGATCTCTTTGAAATTCACATATTTGTATTTTTTTGCTTACTTGTTTATTTATTTTATTTATTTATTTACAGCCCCTAACTGTTATTTAAAAGAAAATGAGCACTAAGGGAAGTATCTTAGTCTCTACTGCATGGATACATGTACTTTTCATGTCTTTGTGTGTGTGTGTGTGTGTGTGTGTGTGTCTTTTCATGTCTTTGTGTGTGTGTGTGTGTGAGAGAGAGAGAGAGAGAGAGAGACAGAGACAGAAACAGAGAGACAGAGCGAGAGAGAGAGAGAGAGAGAGACCCAAATTGGGCCAATCAATGTTCTTTTTATAAATGTTTACTTTATAAATATTTGGTATTAGATTTTTTTTATCCTGCCATTATTATTATTTTTTATATAATTCAAGGTGGCAAACATACCAAATACTTCTTCCTCCAGTTTCATGTGTTTGATGTTCATACATCAATACTGAGAGACAAGCACATTTACAAGCTTATGTTTGGCTCCAAATTCTAGGGATTGTAATCCCAAAATATTTGAAAATACTCTTGTTGAGAAAAGTTTATTTGCCAAGGGGCAGAAACAGGAAGAATCCATGGGGATGAGAAATAATACAATAACAGAGTTGGAAGGGACCTTGAAGGTCTTCTAGTCCAACCTCCCATATATACAGGGAACCCTATACCATTACAGATAAATGGCTGTCCAATCTCTTCTTAGAAACCTCCAGTGTTGGAGCACCCACAACTCCTGGAGGCAAGCTGTTCCACTGGTTGATTGTTCTCCTTAGTTCTAGGTTGCTTCTCTCCTTGATTAGTTTCCATCAGTTGCTTCCTGTCCTGCCATCAGGACAAGAGAATAGCTTGACTCCCTCTTCTTTGAGGCAGCTCCTGAGATATTGGAACACTGCTCTCATTTCACCCCTAGTCCTTCTTTTCATTAAATTAAATTCCTGCAAGCATTCTTTCTATATTATAGCCTCCAGTCTCCTAATCATCTTTATTGCTCTTCTCTACATTCTTTCTAGAGTCTCAACATCTTATAAATAATAATATTAATTTCTTGTTCTGGCTTTTCTTTCCCTTGGAAGCAAATCATATCTGAAGAAAGAATCCTGCTGTCTCATAGAACTAATCTGTCCTCTTCCACCATCACTCAACCTCCAGCTGCAGATAAGATGGATTTCCAGAAAAAGAATGGCACAAGAATCAACGAATTCCTGTTGGCAGCCATTTCTCCCACATGGCAATCCCAAGTTGCTCTTTTTGTGGTCTTTCTCCTAGTCTATGCAACCACCATCGTGGGAAACACCCTCATAATACTAACAGTGGGGTCTGCTCCCCAATTACGCACCCCCATGTACTTCCTGTTAGGAAATCTGTCCTTCCTGGATCTTTGCTACTCCACTGTCACAGCTCCTAAAATGCTGATAGACTTTTTGGTGGAGAAGAGAAGCATCTCCTTTGATGCCTGCATGGCCCAGCTCTTTTTTCTCCACTTTGTAGGTGCTGCGGAGATGTTTCTCCTCACCGTCATGGCCTATGACAGGTATGTGGCCATTTGCAAGCCTTTGCATTATCCTAGTATCATGAATAGGCAGCTCTGTAGTTGCCTTGTAGCAGCCTCCTGGATGGGTGGTTTAATTCATTCTACGGTCCAGACCATCCTCACCATGAGGTTGCCCTTCTGTGGGCCCAACTGGGTGGACAATTTCTTCTGTGATGTGCCACCTGTCATTAAACTGGCTTGCACCAACACATATGTCATCGAGCTCCTCATGGTCTCCAACAGTGGCCTTATCTCCACTGGCTGTTTTATCATCTTGTTGACCTCCTACACCACCATCCTGATGAAGATACGTTCTCCTGATGGGCGCCGCAAAGCTCTCAGTGTCTGCGCTTCCCACCTAACCGTGGTGACCTTGTTCTTTGGACCTTGCATCTTCATCTACGCTCGTCCTTTCTCCACTTTCTCAGTGGACAAACTGGTCTCCCTCCTTTACAATATTATTACTCCTATGTTGAATCCCTTGATCTACACTTTGAGAAACAAAGATGTGAAGATGGCCATGAGCAAACTGAGAAGCAAGGAAATGATTGTTAACAGAGATGGGAAATAAGTGGGAAAAATTCTTTCTCTTTCCTTACTTTACATTAATTTGTACATTTTTCTCACTGATGACTATTGCAGCACCACGTGGTCCTGTGGATCAAAATTCAGATGCTTGGCAGCTGACTCATATTTATGATTGTTGCAGTTTCCTGGGGTCATGTGATCACCTTCTGTGACCTTCTGACAAGCAAAAACAATGGGGAAGCCGGATTCACATAACAAGAATGTTACTTCACTTAACAACAGTGGCAAGAAAGAAATGGGGCAAAATTCACTTAACAACTATCTTGCTTAGCAATGGAAATTTTGGGTCAGTTGTGGTCATAACTCAAAGACTACTTGTAGTTGACCATAATAATAATAATAATAATAAACCCTGTCCCAACCTACTTATTCTGTAGTAGAGTTATTACAATTGATATACCAATATGGACGGGTTTCGGGTTTTAAAATTAATAACAATAAGACTAAAATATTACCCAAAAATATGACCAATTTGGATAAGCAGACTTTGGTTAAGTTGACAGATTTTGAGGTTGTTGATAAGGTAAAATACTTGGGGGTTACTTTAGCTGTTTCTAATGCAAAATTGTATAAAAATAATTATGAAAGGTTGTGGGTCAGGATACAAAGAGACTTGAAAAATTGGGAGAAATTGCAATTATCTCTTTTGGGAAGAATTGCAGTGATCAAAATGAATGTTCTGCCAAAGTTCCTTTTTTTATTTCAAATGATACCTATCTTAAAGAATGAGATTAATTTAAATGAATGGCAAAAAGGTATCAATAAATTTATTTGGGCGGGGAAAAAACCAATAGTAAAGCTTAAAATAATACAAGACATTCGTGAGAGAGGTGGACTCAAGGTACCGAACTTGAAATTGTACTATGATGCGGTGGTCTTAACATTAATTAGTGATTGGGTTAATTTAACAAATGTAGAAATACTCCTCTTGGAGGGTTGGGATTTACTTTTGGGATGGCATGCCTACTTAATTTTTAATAAAAAAGTTGACAGGGTTTTTAAATCTCATATTATAAAGATTTCTTTATTTCGGGTTTGGAGGAAATATTATAGAAGTGATTTTAAAATTCCATCATGGGCTATACCTTGACATGCGATAGAGGGGATAAGGAGAAGAGTCAAGATGGATGGTGTTTCTTACGCACAATTACTTAGATGAGATGGTAAAAATTGGCAGTTAAAATCTTTGGAAGATCTAGCACAAGAAAATATTATATACTCATGGTTTTAGTATAGACAAATAGTGGATAGATGGAAGTTAGATCGTAATGTGGGCGTGCTTAGAGAAGATGAAAATTTTCTTAAACAAGTAAAAGATCAAAGACAAACTCATATTAAGAGAATTTATGGGGTGTTAGTAGAATTAGACTCAGAGGCAGAACTAATTAAAGAATGTATGATTAAATGGGCACAAAATTTTGGTGAACCAGTTCTACTAGATACCTGGGAAATTATTTGGGTGAGGAATGTCAAATTTACACAAGCCCAGAACTTAAGGGAGAATTTTTATAAGATGTTTTACAGATGGCACCTTGATCCACAAAAAATGTCTCGTATGTATCCTGACTTACAGCCCAAATGTTGGAGATGTGGTTGTTTGGATGCTACTTACTATCATATTTGGTGGTTGTGTAAAAATATAAAAGCCTTTTGGATTAAGATATGGTGGAATATTCAAAGAATTTTTAGAAGGAGGGTAAAATTTACCCCACAATTGTTTTTGTTAGGTATTGTTACTGATTGTGATACTAAAGAGACCACACTGATGTTCAATTTAATTACAGCTGCAAGGTTGTTAGTAGGGCAATGTTGGAAGAAGGAATCTTTGCCTACTTTTAAGAGTGGTTTTTTAAAGTTTCTTATTTGGCGGAAATGGCAAAGATTTCAACTTTTTTGAAGGATCAATCGCAAGAGAAGTATTTTACGGTATGGAAAAAATGGATAGATTTTATACAATATAAGTTGGATATTAAAAAATATTATTTAGCTTTCCAATAACTTATATTTAAAATTTAAAATATCTTATAGATTTTATCCTTTTTTTCATTTTTATCTTTTATTTTTATTATACTTTCTTTTATCTTTATCTTTTTTCCTTTTCTTTATTCTTTTTCCTTTCAAGTATCTTTCTTTTGGTATTTATGTTTTTTTATACATATATTATTGTTAATTATCTTATAATTTGTTCAATTAATGTATTTAGACTTATTTATGGTTTATATCTTTTTTTAAGATTTTTTGAAGAAATTTTAATTAAGCCTATGTTCAGCTCTGGGAAGGTCGGGGGAGGGAATGGGAGGGTTGGGGAGGGTTGTTTTGTTTTTGTAAAATTTCAAAAAATTCAATAAAATAATAATAATAATAAAATATGAACTTTATTTTAGGTTACAAATGAGATCAAATCTTTTTTCCCCTTCTCTTTTCTTTCTTCTTCCATTTCAATTTCTTAAAAATAACCTTTTAACATATTTTATGCATTCATTTATCTCCTGGGCACTATAGTTCTTTTGTCTCTGCTTAATATAAACTTAATAGGATCATCATACTAATCATAATAATATATTATTACTGCACTGTACAATTTACACTATGAAAGAAGACTTTGAAACTGTTGGCTTTTTATCAATAAAAAAATTAAGCAAGTACAAAAGAGAGGGAAGCACAAAGTGTCAACTTCTGCTATATGTAGATGATATCAATTAGCCAGAAACGTCCATTCCTAATTTGATTTCATTAATAAATGAATTCAATTAACTGTTATCATGGGGAGAGGTAAAAAAAATCAAGGTGGCTGGTGCAGTCATATATTTAAAGCTGCACCCCTTTCATTATATCTATTCCATATACATTTAAAAGGGGGCAGGACTTTGATTGTACAGTCATGCCCACCATGTTAACTTTTCTGATCCTTTGGCGAAGAGCAAATCAGAAAATCTGATTGGATCTTAGCAATAATACTGATATGAATAGAGACCAGCCATTTCTAATATCTTCACTTCAAACGTTCTTGTGTTCCTCTAAATTTGTGCAACACCCCCCTCACAAATTAAACTAACAATTTCTTTGGGATGGGGTGGATAAGAATTAAATCTGGGGAATCAAACTCAGAAAGCCAAACCAATAACCAAAGCTCACTACCGTATTTATTGTAATAGTACACACTGGAGGAATTGATTCCAAACAACAGGGTAGAGAGCTGCTGAAGAAGACAAAAGGATGAACTTGTGTTTAAACATTTCAGAAAGGAAAGGAAAATGAAAGAGTAGTTTCATAGAGGCAGCGAGGATCGTGTCCAGAGAAATACATATCATTGAAAAGATTAGAATGTACAATAATTCTCCAGTCAGTCTTACAGCTTTTAAACCAGTGGTTCTCAACCTTTTTAATGCCGTGACCCCCAACCGGTCGTAAGTCGAGGACTACCCAACCGGTCGTAAGTCGAAGACTACCCAACCGGTCGTAAGCTGAGGACTTTCCCTGCCCGGGAGCGCCGCACATGCATAGTGCCGTCCCCTGCGCCGGCCGAGGCATAGCTGGCAAGGGGCAGCGATGGCGCAGGGCGACCACCGGCTGGGCCACCAGCTGGCCCAGCCCAAGGGAGGTAAGGCACCCACCAGGCCCCACGCGCGCCAGCAACCCTCCCTGCTCCTGCCGGCCTCCCACCTCCCACCCCTGGCCCTCTTTTACTTACATTTTTAGTAGTTGCTCAGCAGGGAGGGGTGGAAACTTCCAGACAGCTTGCCTTCGCTGAAGACAACTTGCAGCACCGTTTGCAGAATGGGACTTTTGGCGGGCTCAGCAGGGCAGAGACAGCCTGGACAATTCCTATTGGCTTTTGAAAGCCAATAGAATTAGACTCTATTCAAGAGAGTCTATTCTATTGGCTTTCAAAAGCCAATAGAATAAAAGGGAGTAGCATAGCTAAGGAAAAGGGGGAAAAAATGGCGGACTGCATTGTTTGGTGACCCCCGTGAAATGGTTGTTCGACCCCAAATGGGGACCCGATCCACAGGTTGAGAACCGCTGTTTTAAATAAACAAGCAAACAGTCTCATTAGCACTGACAGGGCAAGTCATTAGAATATAAACTGAGAGCAAACCCCACTTCCTACTAGCAATGATGATGTTACCTAGTTTGGGTGAAGAAACATCTGCAAGAAAACAACCAAGCTCAGAAAGCACCAAGGATAACTCATTACAATAGTTTAGTAAAATGATTTTGGCTTAATGTGAACAAGCAGGGTCCCAAAATTAGGGGAATCTGAATCCAGAAGTTGAACTAAGACAGCTTTTCTTCCTAGCTTTCCCGTCATTGGGTTCAATGCTCAGAGATTGCCTGGACAAGTCCCTGCAGTTTCCTTGACAAGGTTTTTCAGATGTGGTTTGCCATTTGCCTTCTCCCTAGGGTTGAGAGAAAGTGATTGGCCCAAAATCACCCAGCTGGCTTTATGCCTAAGGTGGAACTAAATCTCATAATCTCCCAGTTTCTTGCCTGATGCCTTAATTACTACATTAAACTTGCTCTTGGCAGGAAAAAATACTGATTTGGGGAATGTCAAAATTAAATTGTAAGGGCAAGTTTTGTTTGGAGAGAACTCCAAGAGATGAAGTCCAACAAACATGGAAGATGGAAAGTTGGAGAAAGTTTAGAGGGTCATCTGCTAATGGTCAAGATCTCTCAAACAACAGAAAAGGAGAAGTTATAGCACTAGCACTTAGACCTTTATACTGCTTCACAGTGTTTTACAGCCCTCTCTAAGTGATTTACAGAGTCAGCATATTGCCCCCAACAATCTGAGTCCTTATTTTACTGACCTCGGAAGGATGGGAGGCTGAGTCAACCTTGAGCGGGTGAGGATCGAACTCCCGGCAGTCGGCAGAATTAGCCTGCAATACTTAATTCTAACCACTGCGCCACCACAGGTCTTATACCTTGATGCTACTTTTTAAAAAACTCCGCTGCAAATATGCTGATGGTCACAAATAATATGGCCACTATTAGTTTTCTTTAAACAGTTTTAAAATATATACAGGTAGTCCTCAAGTTACTGTATGTCCACAATTGAGTCCAAAATTTCTGTTGCTAAGGGAGACAATTGTTAAGAGGGGTTTTCCTCGTTTTATCACCTTCCTTGCCACAGTTGTTAAGTGAATCACTACAGTTGTTAAGTTAGTAACATGGTTATAAAATGAATCTGGCTTCCCCATTGACTTTTGCTTGTCAAAAGGTCGCCAAAGTTGATCACAGGACTCGGGGACACTGCAACCGTCATAAATATGAGCCAGTTGCCAAGCGTCCGAATTTTGATTGGGTGACCATGGGGATGCTGCAATGTTCATAAGTGTGGATAACAATCACTTTTTTCAGATCACGGGGATGCTGCAACAGTTGTAAGTAAGTTGTAAGCAACTTCAAATGGTCACTAAACAATAGATGTAAGTTGAGAAAATGTGGAACTGATTTTTTTTAAAAAAATTGTCTAATACTAGCTTTATAATAAAGACCTTGGAGACTACAGGAAGGAATTGTGCTCTAGGGTCCACCTTGTACAAAGAAATACACAAACTTTTTGGCTCTCTTGTGGCAGAAATAATATATCCCTAGAAATTAATGACTGTCAAATCTTAAGGCAGATGCAAGAAAGGAACACATTATCCACCTTTTCCTTTATGCCTACCTAAGTTGGTTGCTTCCCTCTCAAATCCTCCTTATAAGTATGAGGAAGAAGTTGGAGCAAGAGATTGATTGAGTTTCAAGGGCTGAATTCAGGTCTTCTGAAAAATCTTCCAATGATACACCCAACTCAGTCCCCAAAATAATTTGCTTCGTTTTCTTTATTTTCCCAGTTTTCATCACAGCAGTTTCCATCATTTGACTGCCTTTAGCTGACCTGTATATTACAAGTAAATATTTGATAATTTCTATCTCAGATAAACTTTTCTGATAAAAGGACCAGAAATGTGACATGTTCTCCAAGAAGATTCTCCATCATCTACAGACACATGAAGAAGGGCATGAAATTGGCTTTAAATTCAGAACTCAGCATATTTATTTTACTAAGTGTGTACTAACATAGTGGGAGAAAGTATGGACTGCTAAACAGAGCACTCACTGATAGTTCTGTGCTCTCCCCTTTCCAAAAATGCATCCTTGTTCCCAACTAATTTTATCTAAAATTACAAACTACCATTGCAAACAAGGTCACGTTTTGTCATCAGTTCCTACTTATGGTAACTGAGAGATTCTCCTGCATTGTGAACAATCCACTAGTTCAATTCTGCACTTAGTGCAACTGCCCTTGTTTATAACTCTAATATTCCAGAATTAATACAGCCATGTTTTCTTCATCTTTCTATTGTGCAATTCCATAGGCAGGATTGTTTGCACTGTATTGAAATAGTTAACTCTCAGCAAGAGTAATTCTTCAGCAAATAGCTGAAGATCTTGAATATCTGCAGAATGTTGATTACTTCCACCAGCTCCAAGCTAGTATGCTGCTTCTAAAAAAAACTTTGTGTCATTATCTCCAGTATCAGAGACCAGGAGGAATTCTTACATAAATCACTTAGGAAAGAAACTGTTTATTTGAGCTTGTGCCTAGTGGACTTGATTGGTGTCTCATGCAATCTTGAGCTGGATGCTGACCTAGAAGCTGAGACCAAAACCCCTTAAGATGGAAGTGTCATGCATGAGAGTTTCTTGGGGTGTCAATTCTAGATGATGTGGCTCTCCTCCCATGATCAGCCATTGTGATTGGTGGACTGATAGTCTCAAAATTGAGTTACTCTAGAGTATATAATGTCAACCTGCTCTTTGGAATGATTCCTAAGATAAACTGGGGTGAGACTGACCATATTACTGACTCAGAAGCCTTAATCTACAATGGATTTGCCCAGCAATTTGAACTAACTACCATTCTATCAGGATCAAGAAACTTATATTCATAGAAAAGTAAGTAAATTTGGGCTGTTGGGTAAGTAAAGTATTTTTTTTACTAAAAGTTTTAGAAATTTTTTACAGTATATGACCCAATTCCTTCCCCCCCCCCACTTCCCGGAGCTGATTACAGGGTTACAAATAAGCAATCATAATCTAACTGACATTACCCAACTCTACTAACAATCAAATCCATAACATACTTTAACTCCTTTTCAAAATAAATATTAACAAATTGAAAACCAAAAATAATAATATAATTAAACAATAATACTAAAAATAATATAAATTCAATCATATTAAACTATTAAAAATAATCGAAAATTTACTCATAAGCTAAATAATACTTTTTAGTCTCATATTTATTCTGGATATAATCTATCCATCTTCTCCAAACCAAAATATATCTAAGTAAAGTATTTTTTTAGTGGGCTTCATTCCCGGTCACTTCATGGACATGTTCCTTTGGTAACTTTGAGTTAAACAGAATAGGAATAGGAATAGGAGTAAATAAGAATAAGAAGAGAAGAGTTGGAAAGGACCTTGAAGGTCTTCTAGTCAAACCACCTGCTCAAGCAGGAAACCCTATACCATTTCAGACAAATGGTTGTCTAATCTCTTCTTAAAAACCTCAGGTGTTGCAGCACCCACAACTTTTGGAAGTAAGTCATTCCACTGATTAATTGTTCTCACTGCCAGGAAATTTCTCCTTAGTTCTAGGTTGCTTCTATCCTTGGATATTTTCCATCCATTGCTTCTTGTCCTGCCTTCAGGTGATTTGGAGAATAGGTTGACCCCCCTCTACTTTATGGCAGCCCCTTAGATAATGGAACACTGCTTTCATGTAACCCCTAGTCCTTCTTTTCATTAAACTAGACATACCTAATTCCTGCAACTGTTCTTCATGTGGTTTGTGTGGTCTTTAGTATTTTAGAACATTTATTTGCTAAGTTCCATTGTTTTATTATTTGACAGTATTTATCACAAACAATGTCAGATCATACAAAAGAGAAGTAGCACAGAAACAAGTTAACCTAAATAGAATAATGAGTTATCAAAATTAGTTAAGCAGGTTATGGAAAGCAAGTGTTCTTGTTGCTTTTTTAATTTTTTTTTCCACTGGCACACAAAGATAGACACCCACATATACAAAAACAGTCAGAAATAATTCAGGAGCATCAGTAGATGTTTCCATCTGTGGTATAGGAATAATCTTATCCTTAAAGCAGCTTATGGATAACTTGCTATTTTTCCCACTCTGTCCCTCACTGAAGCAATGAATCCACTTTCGACACATCTAAAAATCCTGGCTGAGGACAGATCAGTCTGGAAAGAATCTATCTATCTGGTCTCTAAGAATCAGCACTGAGCTGATGGCACTTAATCAACCAGAGACTGTGTGATCAAGTGCTAGAATCTGGAAGTGGCTAAGTCTTCCAGTTTCTAAGACTTTGACAGCTGAATGGGATGGAAGGCTGTTTTTTTCCTTCCTGTATAGAAAAAAAAAGGATTTCTTGATGTAGTTCCTATTCACCATGTTATGATTCCTAGTATAGAACTAGAAAAATGAGGAGTGATTATGACAGTCATAAAAATGAAACTGAGGGACGTCAGACTAAGAGTCAGAAAGAAAAAAGTTTAGTAGATCACAGAAAAAGAGAAACACAAACAGAAATTCAAGTTATTTCTTTTTCCATAAGAACCTTCCTTGACAATATTCCATTTCCTTTCTGAAGAAAAAAAATCTCCTGTGAGACGCTTTCATTGAGAAGAATCTCTTCAAACATGCTGGCATGTAGACCTGACTGCTTGAAGAATTATTTCAAACGATACGAAGATTGAAGCATGTCCTTGAAAGTTCTTGAAAGGAGCCATACAATGGTAAATAGGCAGGTGCCATCATTTTAAACCCATCTTTAAATATCCACCTGAGATTTTTTAAAAAACTACTATCTCCAGAAAGCAGGTAGATACTGCTGTGTGATATTTGAAGTGATTTGATTGTTAATGGAAAAGATTAGCATTGAGACCATCTATTATTCTTCTACAGATCTAAGATGGAAAATGGAACTCATTCAGCAGTAACTGAATTTATCCTCCAGGGATTAACATCAACCTGGCAGATACAGCTATTCTTTGGTGTTGTGCTGCTGCTCTTCTATATCATACTCCTCCCTGTGAATATTCTTATAATTGTGACAATTTTAAAGAATCCATCTTTGAAATCCCCCATGTTTTTCTTTTTGGCTAACCTGGCCTTTCTGGACATCATCTATAGCTTTGTCACCCATCCAAAGCTTTTTCTCAACATCATTTTTGATTGCAGAACAATCTCTTACTTAGGCTGTATCGGTCAGATATTTTTCATTCATTTTCTGGGAGGAGCTGAGATGTTTCTCCTCATTGCCATGGCAGTTGACCGGTATGTAGCCATCTGCCATCCATTGCACTATGCCACAGTGGTAACCAGAGTCACCTGCTGGGCTATGGTAGTAGCTTCATGGCTTGGAGGTTTCATACATTCCATCATCCAGGTCATTCTCATAATTCAACTTCCATTCTGTGGCCCCAATGAGTTGAATAACGTCTTTTGTGATGTCATCCAGATCATCCGGTTGGCTTGCACCAATACCTACACTCTAGAATTCCTCATGTTTGCTAGCAGTGGCCTAATGAGTGTTGCATGCTGCCTCTTCCTCCTCATGTCCTATGGGGCCCTGTTGTTGAAAGTAAGAATGGACTCCGGTCCAAGGAAAAGCAAAGTCTTTTCTACCTGCCTCACTCACATCATCGTCATCATCATTATGTTCGGTCCAGCCATGTATATCTACTGCCACCCTTTCCAAGAATACTCTTTCGACAAAGTGGTAGCCTTTTTTCACACTGTGGTCTTCCCTTTGATGAACCCTGTTATCTACACCTTGAAGAACAAGGAGATCCAAGCTGCCATGTGGAGACTGATCAACAATATTAGTTTTATTTATTAAATGAATGCATTTAATGCATTTCATGTATTTCATTAATACATTAATACATTTCGAGGTCTTTCAAAGGGAAATATTATTCAGTGTTGTATTTTTTGGTTATTAATTATGGTTTTGGATTTTGCCCTTGAACAGCAGAATCTGTTTGGTTGTTTTAAAAAAGTCCATCAACAATTCTACCAATCAGAACAGAGGAAACCTGCTTCGGGTCTATTTATTTAGCCAGACTTGGACAAACCAAATCTCACAAAACTTTTTGGTTCTAGAAGTTCCTCTTTGGGAAAAAAGAAATGGCTGTAAATTAGTCCTGATGATGTTGCCTAGTTGGATAATGAAATGTCTGCAAGAAAACATCCAAGCTCAGAGAGCACCAAGGACCTTTCATTTCAATCCTGAGCTAGAAATATTCTCCATTATTGATAATGATGCCAATAAGAATTCCTCAGTGGTTCAGCAGGACAAGAGAACATAAAAGAAATACACACAGGTAGTCCTCATTTAATAAGTGTATTCTGTTCCAAACTGAACAGGTTGCTTTGTGTACAGTCCTAACAGATAGATAACTCAGAAGAATAAACAGAAATATAGCTTTTATTCTGGGAATTCTAGACAATGACTTACAGTCACTTGGAGATACATCCAGAAGCACATGTTTGCAATATTGGTTTATTCCCCAGGTAAATTGACATTGGATTTTCCCCTCTTCTCTTCTTGCGCGTTACATGTTGGCAAGGATCTCCTAACCGTGTGGCTAGGAATCATGCAGCTGGTGAACAAAGGATCCCATCTGGCTTGTGTCCAGGAAGTCTCTCAATGACCTTTGATACTCCTCCCACTGACCCATCAACATATGTAGCATTTAACCCAATAACTGCCAGACACTCCAACACACTGATACCTGCTCTCTATTTAGGGCTACATAGAGCTGTACGGTCCATGGAGCTATACGTTCCAGAATAAAGTGGTTGCATAACAACCATTTAAAGTAACAATTGACTCATAAAAAGTTACTTATGAACTCTCCTTGAAGCTACGACTGTTTCACACAGACCCCGCAATCATGTGATTACATTTCAGGCCCTAACAACCAGTTTGCATTCGGGACCAGTTGCATTGGTGACCAGTTGTGGTCACCTGACCCTGATTTGTGAGGTTTTTTGCTGTTTTCCAGCAGAAAAGGGCAAAATGCTTATTAGGTATGCTGGATTCGCTTAATAACCATGTGACTCCAGCTACACTGACTAGTTTAATAACTTTTGTAAAAAACAAAAGTCATAAAATCAAGTCAGGTCATGTAGTGACCTTCTTAACAACCAAAATGACTTATGACCAAATGTTCAGGCTCAGTTGTGGTCATAAGTCAAGATCTACCTTTATCACAGTTCAATGATTACATGCAATCAATCTTTCAATATAACAACCCTGCAGAATATCCCTAGAACGTATGAGAGCAATGACCTCTGCCTAGTTATCTTTGATATCTGTTCATAAGTAGTTTCTTTGATAAGAAGTATTCATATGGGAATAATAAGCTTTGAAAATCTGCCCTGAAATCAGACAGTCAGGCAGTCCAACCCTTTAGATCAGTGGTTCTCAACCTTTTTAATGCTGCGACGCCCAACCGGTCATAAGTCGAGGACTACCCAACCGGTCGTAAGTCAAGGAGTACCCAACCGGTCGTAAGTCGAGGACTTTCCCTGCCCGGGAGCACCGCGCATGCATGGTGCCGCCCCCTGCGCCGGCCGAGGCGTAGCTGGCAAGTGGCAGAGACGGCGCAGGCTGACCATTGGCTGGGCCATCAGCTGGCCCAGCCCAAGAGAGGTAAGGCACCTGCCAGGCCCCACGCGCGCCAGCAACCCTCCCTGGGCCCGCCGGCCTCCCACCTCCCACCCCTGGCCCTTTTATTTACATTTTTAGTAGTTGCTCAGCAGGGAGGGGTGGAAACTTCCAGACAGCTCGCCTTCGCTGCAGACAACTTGCAGCACCATTTGCAGACTGGGGCTTTTGGCGGGCTCAGCAGGGCAGAGACAGCCTGGACAATTCCTATTGGCTTTTGAAAGCCAATAGAATTAGACTCTGTTCAAGAGGGTCTATTCTATTGGCTTTCAAAAGCCAATAGAATAAAAGGGAGTAGCACAGCTAAGGAAAAGAGGGAAAAAATGGTGGACTGTGTTGTTTGGCGACCCCCGTGAAATGGTTGTTCGACCCCAAATGGGGTCCCGACCCACAGGTTGAGAACCACTGCTTTAGATAGAAATTTGGACAAATCAGGTTTAGGTCATATTAGGAGTGAAATCCACACACACATTGAGAAAAGGAGGCTGGCAAATAACTGGGTGGCCATATCTTGATAAAGGTAAAATAAAGTGTTCCCCTGTCTAGTCATGTCTGACTTTAGGGGGTAATTCTCATCTCCGTTTCTTAGCCAAGGGAGTCATTATTGTCCAAAGATATTTCCATGATCAGCCTGGCTATATGCCAAACACACATGGAACACTGTTACCTTCCTGCTGAAGTGGTACCTATTTATCTACTTGCATTTGCATTTTGAACTGCTAGGTGGGCATGAGCTGAAGCAAGTTGCAGGAGCTGCTCCCATTGCATGGTGTTCAGGTCTGAAACTCAGACTCTCAACTTTCCAGCTGACAAGCTCAGCATCTTATATCACCGAGCCATCATGCTCCAATCATATCTTGGTATTCAATTTCTGTCTACAAACATGCATCATTATCATCATGCTTGTTGAAGCAAGCATCTTCTTGATTGGACTATCATTCCCATCACCCATGTGCACTGCACAAAGAGATGATGACTTTAATTAACACTTTGAAAGGTACCAGCTTGGAAAAAATCAGATCTAGTGAATAAATTTAACGGAGAACAAGTTTTCAAAACTATTTGCTTGGAATTCCTTTTTTTTTTTTAAATAAGGACCCTGGAGAGAAGTTGAAGAATCTTACATTAGGGATCAGTTTCTCCAGGGAAAGCCAGAATCTTTTGGCTGTCTGATGACACACATTTGTAGAAATGCATGAGTGTCAGGACTTAAATGCAAGGAATGAAGAACGTAGCTACTCACCCTTCTCTTTTCTTCCCTTCTCTGTAATTCCCCCTTTCCCATCACATAACCTTCTTAATAGGCCTGGGAAGAAGAGTGAATTAGAGGCTAATGGAAGGCCAGAGTAAACGTTTGAAGGGTTGTGTTCAATTCTTCTAAAAATTCTTTCATTATGGCTCCAAAACTATGCTTAAATTTAAGTTTTGTTTTGAATTTTCCCCTGGTCCCATCCCAGCAATATCTACCTAATCATCAGCATTGCTTCTAACTTATTTGAAGTTTACAAAGAAATATGTGCTGTTTTCTACTTAGCATATGTATTTTGTGAGACAGATATGCAAAGGAGAGAGAACAACTTATATTCTGCATGATGTGAAATCCCACCAATATTCTGATTTTTTTTCTAAAATAGATTTGCTTCATTTTTGCCAGTCCTCATATAACTAGATAGATGGGGCTCATGAATATTTTTACAGGGTGGAAGCATGAAATTGATTTGGGTTCAGTGTATGTGTTTTAGTGAAATATATGCAACTAGTGGAAATAAAAAGGCACTGATAAATTAGAAGGATTTTTGAACTTCGCTCATTTCTGAGAATGTTCTCTCATTCCCCACTAACTCCATCCTCAAGGATCCCCCTCTCCAAATGCCATTTTTGCATCTCAGTCTACTTAATCCAGTTCCTTTGCAAATCTCATTTCAAGCCTTGACAGAGAAGGAGAGCAAAAGTGAGAAGAATCACATCTTGCCATTATTCTTCATTGATGGTCAAGTGTTCAAGATTGCCAAGATTGCAAATTTAATAGCAAGAGAGAGCAAACTAACACTCTTCTATTACTGCAATATCTTTTGGAAATATAAATCAGAGAAAATTAGAAGTTGAACTATACGGCTTGCAACCTTATTGTCCAACCTCTCATCCAATATGTTGCACAATTCCACCTTCAGAAAGGTGGATTACCTCTAGACTAAGATCCTCCCTCCCAGCAACTTCGGCTTCAAAGACTGATTCCAGGTAAGAAGGCACTGATGTGAGAGTCTCCATGAACAGCCAGATACAGTAGTAGCCCAGAGTTCTATGTTACTTTTAGAAGTCCATATGTTTTTAGCTCCAGCATCAGAGACTGCTTCCTCATAAAATGGAGACACCTGGGCTTGAAGTTACAAAAACCACCAACTTTAGATGTGGGTTTGTTTGTTTTTTCCTGAGTTCAGCCATCAGGACTGATGGATTGATTCACTGATTGATTCACTCTATGAAAAGTTGATTTTTTAAAAAAAATAATAATCCAGAAGATATCAACTGGGTCAGAATGCAGTGACAATGTTACTGGCTCAGGCACCTTAATTTGCAAGGTCCTGTGCTAACAGATCTATATAGGATGCCAATCTGTTATTGAATCTGGATCAAGAAACTCATGTTTGTAGAAAGTAGGTAAGATCTCCTTCAAGTCTCTTTTACCTCCTGGTGGCTTCACAGATATGAAGATAACAGATTTCTCCTCCACATTTAAATGAGGCAGAAGTGCTAACAAGTCTTCAGTATTTTAGGGGAACTGATGTTTTAGCTGGGATTCCTTAAAATGTCAATGTCCACCGATAACTGCCATTGCATCAGATAGTTTTATTATTTGACAGTATCAAGACAGTCATGAACGTAGTATCCAGATGAACATACATAAACTAGAAGTGTATTAACACTTAAATCAAAACTAGTGGAACAGAAAACACAAGTTTGTGCTGCTTTTTTTTTTACAATAATGGTCTTGGAAATTAAAGCAAAGCACTACATCTCATTACAGTATAGTGACTGACTTGAATAAACCTCATTCCGAAGTTTCCTAATTAAGGAACTGGGAACATCTTGGTCAATCAAAGAGTCTACCAGCAATTTTAAGAGAGGACAACAAATGGTAAGTTCTTAATTTATTTCTAGCCATCAACTCCATCCCATATCTTTTATTTTCAGTTCTTGCATGCTTCCTCCAGATTCTTCCATGCAAACCACATTTTCTAATTGCTGTTCAGAGGAGAAGACAAGGACTCACTTGACAGAACAGATCAGAGGTTTTTTTTCTCAAACAAAAGGGGTTTTTTTCACCTCTTATCTTTGAGTTGCTACCAGATCACTTTTGTTTCTGAGCCCTTAACAACTCTCAGATCCTCTCTATGGTGCAGTAGTAGGTAGGCTGTGGGACTAGGATTGTGGAGATCCAGGTTTTCCCACGGAAGATTGCTGAGTGACTTCAGATCACTTTCTCTCTGTCCCTCTCTCAACATACCTCACTGAGAACTTGGGGGGGGGGGTGGAAGAAGGGAATATTATGTATTATCCTTGCAGCTGCTAGAAAAAAGGTGGGGGGTCACATAAAGTGTTAATGCCACCTTATAATGCCTTGGTAAGATGACACTTGGAATATTACATCCAGTTTTGATTGCCATGATATAAAAAAATGTTAAGAATTCTAGAAACAGTGCAGAGAAAAGCAACAAAGATGATTAGGGGACTGGAGGATAAAGTATTTGAAGAATGGTTGCAAGAATTGGGTATGTCTTGTTCAATGAAAAGAAGGACTAGGAGAGATATGATAGCAGTATTCCAATATATCAGGAGCTGCCACAAAGAAGAGGGAGGTCAAGCTATTCTCCAAAGCATCTGAAGTTTACAAGAAACAATGGATGGAAAATAATCAAGGAGAGATCAGTCTAGAACTAAGGAAAAATTTCCTGACAGTTAGAACAATTAATCAATGGCATGGCTTGCCTCCAGGAGTTGTGGGTGCTCCAGCACTGGAGATTTTTAAGAAGAAGTTGGACAGACATTTGTCTGAAATGGTATAGGGTCTCCTGCTTGAGCAGGGCGGTGGACTTGAAGATCTTCAAGATCCTTTCCAACTCTGTTATTCTGAGTTATACAGGTAGGCTGAGAATTCAGAATCTGTTATACTTTCTCAGCAGCTGAGTGCTAAGTCCTTACAACATAGTTCCTTTGCAGCCAGTTGAGAGACTCTCACTTCTTGTCACATCCATTCAGACTCTCACGTCACAACCATTCAGAGCTTCACCTCACGTCATATCCAGTCATAGACTCTATCTATGGTACAAGTCACATTTTGTCTCAGTTGAAATCATAATGAATAATGAGCTGCTGATCTTAAAACAGAGTGATGGTAGCAGCTTTCTGTGATGAAAGATTGCTACATTGGTTACTACTGGATTTTAATCTATTTTCAAAATTCTCTCTCTCTCTCTCTCTTGATGTTACTGCCTCATGTAGAAACAGAGAAATCCTGACTTTGTTTTGGTGGGGGAGGGCACTGTAGGGCACATTTTAAATCATCTTCTCTTCTGCTTATCAATCAGACCCATTTTAGTCAGTGGGATACTCTCTAATGAACTAGACCTGTGGTTCTCAACCTTTTTAATGCCGCGACCCCAACCGGTCATAAGTTGAGGACTACCCAACCGGTCGTAAGTCAAGGAGTACCCAAACGGTCGTAAGTCGAGGACTTCCCCTGCCCGGGAGCGCCGCACATGCATGGTGCCGCCTCCTGCGCCAGCCGAGGCGTAGCTGGCAAGTGGCAGAGACGGCGCAGGCTGACCATCGGCTGGGCCACCAGCTGGCCCAGCCCAAGAGAGGTAATGCACCTGCCAGGCCCCACGCGCGCCAGCAACCCTCCCTGGGCCCGCCGGCCTCCCACCTCCCACCCCTGGCCCTTTTATTTACATTTTTAGTAGTTGCTCAGCAGGGAGGGTGGAAACTTCCAGACAGCTCGCCTTCGCTGCAGACAACTTGCAGCACCATTTGCAGACTGGGGCTTTTGGTGGGCTCAGCAGGGCAGAGACAGCCTGGACAATTCCTATTGGCTTTTGAAAGCCAATAGAATTAGACTCTGTTCAAGAGGGTCTATTCTATTGGCTTTCAAAAGCCAATAGAATAAAAGGGAGTAGCATAACTAAGGAAAAGGGGGAAAAAATGGCGGACTGCATTGTTTGGTGACCCCCGTGAAATGGTTGTTCGACCCCAAATGGGGTCCCGACCCACAGGTTGAGAACCACTGCTTTAGATAGAAATTTGGACAAATCAGGTTTAGGTCATATTAGGAGTGAAATCCACACACACATTGAGAAAAGGAGGCTGGCAAATAACTGGGTGGCCATATCTTGATAAAGGTAAAATAAAGTGTTCCCCTGTCTAGTCATGTCTGACTTTAGGGGGTAATTCTCATCTCTGTTTCTTAGCCAAGGGAGTCATTATTGTCCAAAGATATTTCCATGATCAGCCTGGCTATATGCCAAACACACATGGAACACTGTTATACAGCTAAGGAAAAGAGGGAAAAAATGGTGGACTGTGTTGTTTGGCGACCCCCATGAAATGGTCATTTGACCCCAAATGGGGTCGTGACCCACAGGTTGAGAACTGCTGAACTAGACCTTGAAAGATGCTTCACCAGGAGTAAAGGTATAACTTTATTGAGCTATTGAATCCATTTGTATACTATACCATGTTCCACATTAAAATTGCCTAATGCAATTAGATCCTACAAATATGTTGAATCAGGATTCCAGGTTAGGGGTTGCAGTTTGTCAGTTATGGAGGGTACCTGGTTTGGGGAAGCTTAAGATAAACATTTTCCTGGACAGTGAGAAGTGCTAGAAAATGTTAAAGGATCATGTTCTCTTAAAATTGACTGTGAAGTGTCTACCCATCTAATGATAGTGATGTTATCCATTCAGTCATGGCTGACTCTTGGTGATTCTATGAGATTCTCCACATCTTCTGATCTTGCACTATTTCTTTGAGTTATTCTATGCTCTGATAGCTTGTTAGCTTTGATAGTGTTAGCTTTGATAGTGTCCAGCCACAATGTTTTTTGATGGCCTTTACCATTAACTCTTCCAAACATAATAGCTTTTTCCAGTGAATTCCCCTGCACGACATGGCCAAAGTAAGTGATTTTGCAGGTTTATGATTTTGCCTTCTAGTGACACACCTGGTGTTATGCATCCCAGTACTTGATTGTTAGCCACCTTTGCTATCCAACAATGCAACTAAAAAGGGTAGGAGCTGATCAGGCTACACTGGAGGGAGGGGTCAAATGCATCATCAGTCATAAGTTCCTGCACACCCACAAGAGATCTTAGTCCAGCTCACCTTGAATGCCTTTCTTAACTCCCGCTAATTTCCCTTGACCATTAGTAGCTCAGATTCTTGTAGAGAGCTTAAGCTTTCAATAAATCTTTAAACTTATTTGAACTGCCCGAATCTCCTGATTTCCCTGATATTTGTCAGATGGCAATAACAGGGTAGCACAATAAAGGTAGGAACAACAATCCATATGGTCAATAAGAGTGAAAATAGAAATCTAATTGTCTTGTAAGGCAGGATTTAGCCTTTCTGGTTGGTTATCTTAGACTCTGAAATCCAGAATATCTGGAAGGATCCAGTCTGCTAATAACTATTTCAGATTAGATTTCCTCCTAAGCAAATATTAATGAATGGCTCCTAGGAAAACAGATGGTCCAGACAGACTCTGAGATCCAACTGGGATTAAAAACCTACTGTCCCCAGGACTACTAGATCCATTGCTGTGATATATTTGGAATTGCATAAAGGTTAAATGGAAATAAATTAACACTGATTCCCTATAATTTATATTCCTTTATAGGTATAAGGATGAAAAATGAAACTTATTCACTAGTGACTGAATTTGTCCTCCAGGGATTATCACAAATCTGGGAATTTCGGCTATTATTTTGTGTTCTTCTGCTGCTCTTCTGTATCACCATTCTTCCTGGGAATATCCTCATTGTTGTGACAATTCTGCAGAATCCCTCTCTGGAATCTCCCATGTTTTTCTTCTTGGCCAACCTGGCCTTGATTGATATCTTTTACAGCTGTGTCACCCATCCAAAGCTCCTCCTCAACATCTTTTTTGGTTGCATCACAATCTCCTATTTAGGCTGTATCACTCAGATATTTTTCATTCATTTTCTAGGAGGAGCTGAGATGTTTCTCCTCTTTGCCATGGCTATTGACAGGTATGTAGCCATCTGCCATCCATTGCATTATACAATGGTAGTAACCAGGGTCATTTGTTGGGCTATGGTAGTAATTTCATGGCTTGGAGGATTCATACATTCCATCATCCAGGTTATTGTCATCATTTTACTTCCGTTTTGTGGTCCCAATGAGTTGGATAACTTCTTTTGTGATATCACCCAGATTATCAGATTAGCTTGTGCCAACATCTACACTCTAGAATTTGTCATGTTTTTTAGCAGTGGTATACCAAGCATTGTATGTTTCATTCTCCTTCTTATATCCTATGTGGCACTGCTGATGAAAGTGAGGATGGGCTCCAGTATAGGAAAAACGAAAGCCTCTTCTATCTGCATCACTCACATTATTATCATCTTCATCATGTTTGGTCCAGCCATCTACATCTACTGCCACCCTTTCCGAGACTACCCACTGGACAAAGTGGTGGCCTTTTTCCATGCTATGGTCTTCCCCTTAATGAACCCTGTGATCTACACCTTGAGAAACAAGGAGATCCAAACTGCTATGCGGAGACTACTCGTGAATATTAAAACTAGCAGATGAATAGCAATAGCAATGGCATTTAGGCTTATATACCATTTCACAGTGCTTTAAAGCCCTCTCTAAGCAGTTTAAAGAATGAGCATATTTTCCCCAACAATCTGGGTCCTCACTTTACCCACTTTGGAAGAATGGAAGGCTGAGTCAGCCACAACAAGATTGTTTGTTAATTTTTTCCCAGGAAGATTTTAAGTTGAAAAAAAGAAAAAATGGAGTTGAAAGGCTTTATATGTTTCCTTATTCTCAGTTGACAAAAAGATTTAACCTTGATAGAAGAATTATGAGTCTGAAAATGGTAAGATTGAATTAGATGTGGAACTGTGTAGAAATGATATATATATTACTGCTAATATGTATAAACTTTTATTGAATGATTCCACAATAGGTTCAGTGTGGCATTTTTGTTAATTAATTCTAGTTTCCTGGGATGGTACTATATAACAAAACAGAAAAATTAAACTAACCATGTGTAGTGGGACAGTCTGAATTATATAAAACCAGGCACATCATTAGAAGACAACATGATAACATAGTGTCTCCATCATCACCTTTTGCATGTAGCAGCAATATCACTCTGGATAGTGAGACAGGTGGTATATAAATTAAATAAATAAATAAATACGAGACATGTTCCTGGGGACTGTTTTAAGGAGCAGGGCTCTTGATGGAAATAGACTTTCTGAAGCCAGCACCCTCTTGATTGATTGGATGGTAATTCCCATCATCCCACCATTACCTGAATAGATGGGCTCTGTGATTTAAGACACCTACAGAGTAGGTTTGCTTGGGAAAATCCTGTCAAAGAATAAACTTAATGCAGAATTGCTTTCAAAAATGTTTGTCTAGAGTGAACTTTTTAATAAGGTCCTTGGAGACCAGCGGAAGGAATCATACACAAGGGCCCGGTTTATCCAGGGATACCCACAATCTTCTAGCTTGCTCAAAGAAGAAGTATTATACTTGTGGAGATCAATACTTACTTGATAGTTGATTGATTATGTGGCCATCTTACCTATCCTCCCCTTTCCTCCCTTCCTCTAAGGCATCCAACTGTCCATCTCATTCACAATGGCCACTAGACCTTGGAAGCAATGAGAGCGAGAGGCTGACATAGGACTAAGGCAAGAGATTCAGAAGATGAATTCACTTTCTATAAATACTGCTTAGTGGTGGCCCAATGGTGACCTTTCTTTTCTTACATTACTTTCTGCTATCAATGAAGAATGCATTGATTTATTGAAGCTCTTCCCAATTGTGTATAGAAGTTCACCTAGGAACATTCACTCTTTTCAACCTTGTCAATGGGGGACTTAAGAGGACATAGTTTTTTATGAGTCTGAAATGCAATAACGAGAAAACATCTCATAGATCCTGGGCCTGCTTAATACTGGACTAACAATTTTTGATCTCCAAATTCAGAAGAAAAAAAGAGAGAAACAACCCAATCCTTAGATATTTGTTAAATAGGCTTACTAATATAAAATTTTTGAATTTCCTTTTGAATAGATTGATAGATACTTTTATGTTTCTGATGTTCCTGCTATCATGATGTTGAACAAAAAAATGGTTCTGAGTTCAGAATATTTATTTTATGGAAATAGATCCACTTGATGGGAGAAAACAGGGACAGCTAAAACAGGCAGTTAAGAACAATATCTGAACTTTTCCTCCATCCAAGAATGTATACTTTTTGTTGTTGTTGTTAATTGCAAAGTCTTGTCCGACCCATCGCAACCCCATGGACAACATTCCTCCAGGTCTTCCTGTCCTCTACCATCTTCTGGAGTCCATTTAAGTTCACACCTACTGCTTCAGTGACTCCATCCAGCCATCTCATTCTCTGTCATCCCTTTCTTCTATTGCCCTCAATCCCTCCCAGCATTAGGCCCTTCTCCAGTGAGTCCTTCCTTCTCATTAGGTGGCCAAAGTATTTGAGTTTCAACTTCAGGATCTGGCCTTCTAAAGAGCAGTCAGGGTTGATTTCTTCTAGGACTGACCGGTTTGAACGCCCTGCAGTAAGATAAATTTAAAAAATCACCCATGTTTGCATCTCAGTTCTTTTTCTCTAGTTCCACTGCAAACCTCATTCTAAGACTGGGAGGGAGGGAAGGAGGAAGCAAGGAAAGAGACTCCCAACTATGAAGGGAATATTTTCTGCACTTGGTCCGATTGATGATTACTGAGAGATGATTTGGGGTAGCTAGTCAACCATCAATTTAACAGGGATGATCAGCCAACAACCATAATATAATTCCTACTAGAGATTGCATTGTAGGAAACAAGCAAAGTGAAAATAAGGTCAGGAGCAACATCTGAGAAGAGCTTAAGGTAAGGCTTGACGTGTTACTATTTTTAACAACAGTTTTATCTACTAACATTATTCCATTTTCTATTTCCATGTGCCTTCCTGTTGCTGTATATTTTAATTGGCATTTCAAGGATTGCTCTAATTCACTTTATGAATAGGGTGGTTTGTATGAGTAGAGGTGACTTGAAAAGCAGGCAACACATATATTCATTGAAGGAACAAAGTCACCTTGTAGGGGAGATGGATGGCATAATGACTTAATAAATAAATACATTTTTAAATATAACTGAGAATGTCCATAGGGCACAAGGATGTTGAAAGATCTCTCCTTCCAGATAAATCCTATATGCAGACCCTCAAAAAGTGCTTGGAACTAAGTAATTTTATTTACTGACATTATTCTATTTTCTATTTCCATGTGCCCTCCCATGGCTTGATATTTTAATTTGCATTTCAAAGATTGCTCTAATTCACATTATGAGTAGGATACCTTTTTATGGGTAGAAGTGACTTGAGAATACATCTATTCAATGAAGGAATGAATATATTTTAGATAAAACTGAGAAGGCTGATAGGGCACAGGGTCTTTGAAAGATCTTTTCTTCCATATGACTCCTATAAGCAGACTGCAAAAAGATTTGTTTGAAATTAAGTGCCTCTTCAACAACTTGTAAATTCAGGTTTAACTTCTCAATTTGCAGAGTAAAATTCTTTATTGTAGACAAAAACAAAGCCTTCTCAAATTGAACAAGGAGACTGTTCAAAGACTTTGATCATTTTAACAATAAATATTGGATCCTTACCTGTCCTATTCAGAATGGTGCTGGTTACAATATACTGGGTTTGAAATGAATCGGACCTCACGTCCAGGGAATTAGAACAATTAATCCGTGGAACGGCTTGCCTCCCGAAGTTGTGAATGCTCCAACAGTGAACATTTTTAAGAAGAGGTTAGATAACCATTTGTCTAAAATAGTATAGGGTTTCCTGCCTGGACTAGGGTTGGATTAGAAGACCTCTAAGGTCCCTTCCAACTGTATTATTCTGAATATGGAACATCAGATGGTCCAGACAGAGGAAAAAGTAAACAACTTAGGTAGACCAGTGGACACTTGCCTTCCAAACAACTACTTTAAAAGCTGCAAACATGACCATGTACAGAAACAGAAAACAAAGTATTTCTGGCACAATCATATGTGGGCTGCAAAGTACAAGAAAAAAACTGAATAGCAGTAAAGAGTGACACTGTTTTCTTTTGCCTAGATGTTTGTATACAAGACTGTTACAAATTTCCTCCCATTTAATATTCCCATCACTATTCCCCTACAGGAATACACAAAACGGATGGACTCAGGCAACCACACTGAGTTTATTCTTGAAGGGTTAGCAGAGACCAGGGAACTGCAAGTCTTGCTCTGTGTCCTCCTCTTGATCTTCTACCTCATCATTCTTCCTGGAAACATTCTCATCATTGTGACTATTTGGAAAGACCCCCAATTAGGAGCTCCCATGTTTTTCTTCTTGGCCAATCTGGCTTTGATGGACATTTGCTACAGCTGTGTCACCCCTCCAAAGTTGATAGTCAACCTCTACTCTGGATGCCAAACTATCTCATACAAAGGTTGCCTGACACAGATTTTTTTCATCCACTTTCTAGGTGGAGCTGAGGTCAGTCTCCTTGTGTCCATGGCATTTGATCGGTTTGTGGCTATCTATTTTCCATTGCATTATGTAACTATAATCACCAAGCCAGCTTGCTGGGCTTTAGTGGTGACTGCATGGGCTGGAGGATTCATGCATTCCATAACCCAGGTCATTCTCATCCACCCACTCCCTTTTTGTGGTCCCAATAAACTGGACAACTACTTCTGTGATGTCACCCAAATAATCAGGTTGGCTTGCACCAACACCTACAGTCTAGAATTTGTTATGTTTATCAACAGTGGCCTTACAACTGCAGGATGCTTCATCCTCCTTCTCATTTCCTATGGGGCACTGCTGATCAAAGTGAGGACAAGTGCCAGCCAAGGGAAGAGCAAAGCATCTTCTACTTGCATCACTCACATCATCATTGTTTTCATCATGTTTGGTCCAGCCATTTACCTCTACTGTCACCCCTTCTATGATTTTCCCTTTGACAAAATGGTGGGCTTTCTCCACATTGTGGTTTTCCCTTTGATGAATCCTATGATTTACACACTGAGGAATAAGGAAGTCAAGATTGCCATGTGGAGACTGTTGAAGAAATGCAACATTCAATAGGAAAAGTAAAAGAAATTTATTTTTATTGTTTAATTTCCTTGTACTGGACTTCATAACCAGACAGCAGTCTCTATTGTGTGACTGTCAACATCTGATACAATGTCTAACGCTGGCATGTAATTCTATTTTTTTAATAAATGAAAATCAAATCTTTCCTTCTTTATCTAATAATGAAATTTGGTGATAGGAATATTCATTTATTTTTTAGATATTCTTGGTTGCTTGTACCAGATTATTTTAATGCCATTTGTAAACATGTACGCTGCATAATTTTGAGGGTCATCAACAAAGAGAAATCCAATTTTGGATGACTGGATAGTGTATTGATTGCCATAAATCTAATGTAATAATTTCCCAACCGGGCAACTTCCAGAACATTGGTTGTCACCATTCTCAACAATCACCACGTTGACTAGACAATTATGGAAATTGAAGTTCACATATTGGGAAATTGCCCAGGTTAAAAACCACTGACCTAATATAATACCTGCAAAAAAGATTTCTGTAAACCAGTTCTGATGTAATTACAAATGAGATAATTTTCCAATATTCAAGGGATACATTTTCAGACAAAACTGTATAAATGTGTACAGAATATCCTTCTAGGCTAGATATGTGAATGATACAAATTGGTTGCAGAAAGTGGATTTGGTTTACACGTTTAGCTTTGTGGCATACTTTGTTACACAATGAAGACTAATGATCAATGTCAATTTTAATATGGAATTATTCTTCAGGAGATCCTATACCATTCCAGACAAGTGACTGTTCAGTCTCTTCTTAAAAACCTCCAGTGATGGAGCACCCACAACTTCTGAAGGCAATTTGTTACACTGGTTAATTGTTTATAGTTAATTGTTAATATTTATTGACTGCACATATAACCACATATCTGATGAATATTTCTTTTTCCACCTCACCGTATTTTGTTCCACTTAACCATCCATTGCCATTTAGAATAATTTCCATTAACTATCACTTATCTTTTTCCTTCTGGCTTGCTTAAGCAAAAGAAATAGTAGACTAGTATACAGATGGAATAGAATTTATGCTGGTTCAACCCACTTTCCTAAACTCCTTTGATAGAAAAATCCATTTTCTCCAGACTATTCCTTCCTTCCTTCCTTTCTTCCTTCCTTCCTTCCTTCCTTCCTTCCTTCCTTCCTTCCTTCCTTCCTTCCTTCCTTCCTTCCTTTCTTCTGTCCTTTCTCTCCCAAATATACAGTACATTTTATCTGAATTATTGTGTATTCGTTACTTTTAAAATTACTATTAAAATTAACATGGGGGGCGGTTTCTGCATTTTGCCTGATGTTGCTTAATTGCTTATGTCTGTGAGCACTGCAGAATTCTGACCTTTATTTTCTGGGGAAGCTCTAGTTTTGTAGTTTGCTAATTCTATGCTTATGTGCATCTGTGTTTGTATACCAGAATATTTGATTCAACTGATTGTGCAATCACTATCAGCACCCAATTAAACAAGTAGGGACCTCTACAGTGGACACCAAACAATTAAGAAAGAATTTGTCATCTCTACATTCCAGGTATCGCACTGCTCTAGGTGGGTCATTTAGATCAGCATTTTCAGACTTTATCAGAGCTCTGATAATTTTCTCAATTACTGAGAAAATGTTTTCCAGTTATGAAAACTGTTATGAAGCTAGGAAGAGATTTCTCCTGCTTGGGTAAGGGGTTGGACTAGATCAGGGGTGTCAAACTCAATTTCATTGAGGGCCGCATCAGCATTGCAGTTGCCCTCAGGGGCCTGGGTAGGTGTAGCCAGGGTGGGTGAGACCTACTGGTTGGGTGTGGATGGAGTGGGTGTGGCCTACTGGGTGGGCGTGACCAGCTCTACATCGTTCGCGTCAAGGGTGCCTGTAGGAGCCTGGGCAGAAGTGGGACAGATCTGAGGGTCTCTGGCAGAAGTGGGTGGGACCAGGGCAAGTGCCAAGGCATGGTCCACTAGAGGAGCCTCACTGTTCTTCTCAGGACATGCGGGGAGGTGGCTTATGGAGCTAAGACTGAATGCGTTTCAGCATAGATGGCCACCACAAAATTGTACATTGGCTCCCGGTCAGCCTGTTCCCTCACTGTTTCCAGGATGGCTTCGCAGGCCACATGAAACCACTTCACGGGCCGCATCCGGCCCCCGAGCCTTGTGTTTGACATGTCTGGACTAGATGACCTACAAGTTCCCTTCCAACTCTGTTATTCTATTCTATCCCCAATGACCATCACCCCCACAATATCCATCCCTGCCCTCTCCCCCATGAAATCAGGTCTTCTCCTAGGATGAACTAAAGCATTTTTTCATGCCCCAATTCCCGACTCTGACTTAGATCCAGTTCAATTTGTCTACAGCACAGAGAGATTGCAGTTGATGAGCAATGCCTAGCCATGAATAAAAAGTGCACAAACATCCTATTTCTGAATCTTCATGTGCATAAATTGTTAGCAGTCTCTAAGCTAGAACAAAGTTTGCTGTCTCTCTTTTTCCTCCTCTGACCCCAGAGATTGTCTGCATCATCTTTAGTATTCAGTACTAACATTTTAATAAGATCCCCTGAGAAGAATATAAATCTGGTGTCTTCATATTGGTTCTCTGGAGTTGAACAACAGGACTTTTCAACTTTTTCACAGACTGTAGCATCTTTAGGACATGATAATATTTGAGTACCACCACTGCTTAGCAAGGTATCAAAAACATGACGACTGAAACAAAAGGGGGGATTTTGGGTTTTACTGATTAGGTTCATTTGTTGTTATAGAAATGGCTAGTTTATAATATTATGGAAAAGTAAAAAGTTGAGGTTCAATGTTAATGCTTCCTTTTACTGCAACAGAGGAAGTCGGAAGTCAATGCCTTTTCTTTTTCCCTTCTCCCCCTCACTTTTTTCCCTCTCCCTCAGGCTTGTGTCACTTCAGCTCATTCCCCTCCCCTGCTACACTTGTCTAGGAGGGTTGCGTATCATCTGCCAGGTGCCAAATTACCACTGGTGGTGTTCTATCCCAGCCTATGGCTGTCCTTGTTAAAGGCACAAGGACAAAACCCCTTTTGCGAAAATAGGCTGGAGACTCAAAAAAAACCAAACCCTTTTAATATGGGTAACCAACCTGCCAAATAGTCCAGAAACAAAAGCAGCAAAACACAATCCAAATGGAGGAAATTGTCCACACGAAACCATACAAAGCAGAGAAGTAGTCACCAGCAAGACTAACAGAACATGATCCCATGAAATACTTTGCAACAGTTGCCTTCAGCAACCAGCACCGCCCACACCTTCCCTTTTTATAAAGCAGTCCCAAGGCGTTGCCTCTCAGTGCCTTCTCCTCCTCCCCTGGAATTGTAGTGACTGCTGCTGATCTACTCTCGCTAATTGCCGGCGTCTACAAGCATCAATTATCATGTCCATCAGGTATGAATCCTCCAAGTTTGACTCATTCTCTCCACATAGCTGAGCTTCATCAGGAACATGACTGGAGGGCCCAGGTTCTTCATCAAACCGTGAGTCTTGTAATTCATCAGAGCCACCCTCTGACCCTGATGGCCCTTCAAATGCCTCCTCCACCTCCTCTTCAGATTCCCCAGACTCAGCTGTTGGGAACACAGGCTGGCACGGAATCACAACAGGTGGTACTTGTACCACCAGTTGAAAAGCCCTGGGCTAGAAGACCTCAAAGGTCCCTTCCAATTATTCTATTCTATTCTATTCTATTCTATTCTATTCTATTCTATTCTATTCTATTCTATTCTATTCTATTCTATTCTCCAAACTGGGAAAAGCTATCTTGACTATTTTTTCCCCTCTTTTCTCCCTCCTTCCTTGCTATAACTGAATCCCTTATTTTTATTTTCTTATTTGGTTTCTATCCCACATTTCATTGAGGAATTCATTAGTGTTCCCTCCTCTTTTTCTCCAGAAAGCTCTTTAAGCTAGATTGAATTGAGAGGATAACTGGCCCAAGATCACTTAATTCACTTAGGCAGGAATTGAGTATGTCTAGTCAAAAGAAAAATTCTGGATGACATGATACCAGTGTTCCAATATCCAAGGGACTGCCCCCCCCCAAAAAAAAAACAGGGAGTCAACCTATTCTCCAAAGCACCTGAAGGCAGGAAAAGGAGCAATGGATGGAAAATGATCAAGGAGAGAAGCAACCTAGAATTAAGGAGAAATTTCCTGACAATGAGAACAATTATTCAGTGGAAAGCTTTCCTTCAGAAGTGGGTGCTCCATCGCTGGAGTTTTTTAAGAAGAGATTGGAAAAACTATTTATCTTAAATGGTATGGGGTCTCCTGCTTGAGCAGAGGCTTGGACAAGACCTCTAAGGTCCCTCCCAAGTCTGTTTTTCTGTTAAACTTTCATACCTGAAGAGGACTATTCTAATAATAGTCTTCCAATTTCAACATCTCAACTAGTACACCACATTAACTCTTACGTGTCCAGGGAGAACTTGCTCCCAACCGTTTTATTCTCCTGCCTTTTTCCTGTCCTTTTGAGAACAGCTACACCATGCTATCCTTGGTGGCCAAAACATTTTCTTAACTAATTCCCTTGAAGGAGATAAAGCACCAAGGAATGGGAATCTGCTTTTGCTTCCAGAATTATCAGCAGATCTTTTTCGATTCCTGATTTGCTAATCCTTAATACATTATACTGCTGTACAGCATATCATTTCAACTCATGCTTAAGGAGAAGGACTCTGAGCAGTTTCATCTAGTGCCAAACAGAGATTTAGGAGGAGTTGCTACAACAGTTCCCAAATAACATCTGTTGGTGTTTGCAGGTAAGTAAAAATTTAGAATGAGTTGAAGGAACTATTCTTTTTCCAGCAAAAGACAAACATAAGACTACTTGTCACGCCCACAGCATCTGCCTTAAACCTGCGAGATGCAGGTAATGTTTAGAAATTCTCACTGTGGATTTTGGTTTTCTTTTTCTTCCTTCATTCTCCTTTGTTTCTAGGACATTCCTTCTCTGACTATAAACCTGAGAAGAAGGAGAATAATTTTGTGTTCTGTAATGTGTTCTGAATGTCCTTGCAGCTGGAGTGCAAGCAATGGTTGAAATAACCACATAATGAATAATATCTACAGTAAATGTTCTAGAGATAAGGAGAGAAGAATGTACTAGAGAGAAGTGGAGGTGAAGAGAGGGAGAGATAAGAAAAACA